CAAGTCTTCCTCTAATCATGTGACCGAAGAATATGTTATTAGATGAGTATCCACACTTTACAGTCGTAAAAATTTACATAATTTTAGCGTGGGTCAAATACATCGAACTCGTTGCAAAAATTCCGCACTAAAATCGCTGGGTTGCACGCTCTTTTTTCAACGTCGTTAAGTGCCGAATAATTATTGTTTATGTTTATAACGTGTCGTTTTCCTGTCGTGTTTTTAAGACACAAACCACGAAGAAGAACTCTACATACTGATGAGTATTCTTTGCGTATAATTATGCACGTTTCTATGGATGCGATTCGAGGATAAAAGTGTTCGCCAGCTGGGTAGACCCTGAAGAGCGTATCGTCCAATCGATCGTATCCTCTTTCCTCAGTTTCTAATTTACTATCGGCCAGCAATTGTTCCTGCCTTCAACGAAGCTTCTCCAACCTTTACTAGTCTACTTTGAACTAATTTCAAGAATTAGGAACAAGGAATGCAATTGGTCCCTTCTGTTCTCGTTTGCCAGCTTGGATCACGGTTGTTTTAAGCGGTTAAGTCTTATTCGAAATATTGACATTCTTATCCAACGAGAGTGATTTTTGAAATTTGAACGTTCTCATGGGAGATGAATCATTCATAGTTTTGGTTGCTTCGAGGAGGACAGTTCATCGATTCCCTCCTCGAACCCATCAGCTTGTCGCGTCCTGTTTGCTGACCTCAGATTCTTCTTGGCATTCTAGCTTAAAGTTCTCGGTATGTGCGTCTTGTTTAAAGTTCTAGCACTCCAGCGTGGAAACCTCTCTGTACACTAAATTTTATTAGCCTTCTCGGAATGTCTACCAACCGTCTTCGAGATCTTCAACGTTTGTTTCTTCTTCTAATTAGCATCCTACGTCTACTCGTCTGTTTTTCTCGGGCTTGCGGAGGTGGTCCGAGATAGCTGAAGCTACAGATGTTCAAGTACTCGAAGGTGAATCCCAAAGAAGTGTATCTGGTACTGTAAAGATGGATTTTGCGACTGATTCGTGATCGAAGCGTTAAAAGTAGGTGCAAAGTGACACATGGAAATTCTAGTGTGATAATTATGCACCATCTGCCGACACGCGTAGATTTAAGCAAACACAGAGGAATCGATTGACGCAGAGACTCGGGAGACAACGAAGCATTACGCGAAATTGTCGATTGATATTTTGTTGTTACAGGTAAACAACGTATCGACAACTTTACAAAATTATTTACATTGTTCTAAACGCTGCGGAATGTTCCTATTTTAATTACTTTTTTGTAAGCCTTAACGTTAACGACAATGTAAAATGAATAACTCGCTGGAAAATCGAGGAGTCGATCGAATCATTGCTATCGTGTATGTATGAGTCATAAAAACGTTGTACGCGAGGTTGAAAACCGCCTGCCAAACGTATACAAATTTTATGTACATATGCGAAATGAAACTATACATAGGTGTACATTGCTATTCTCCAAACATTTTTGCATACGGTTTCCATGTTGGCACATGTAATGGACGCGTAATCGATGCAGCCGTTTAATAATTACATTTAGCGTCGCCATGTGTGGAGATAAATGGAGAAATGTAGTTGAGAAAAATTACATCAGAGTCGAGATGAGGATAACGAAAGAACACCTCGTGAGAGAGAATAATTACGAGTAAATGACGTTAATCGCTAGGATGATTGAGTAACGAACAATGCCAGATGATTTAGAGGTCGAATGCTCGAAAACGAATTTACAGAAAATTGTACGGAGCACAAAGGCTCGAATAGGAAGTTCTTGGAATGGAAGACGGTAGGAAGAGCTGTAACTAGGAAACGGTTAAGTGGAGAACCAGTTAAGCAAAGGAGAATGGAGAAATACCTAACGGGGATATCTGTTAGCAAGAGAACAACTGCGGAAATCATAACGTAATGGCTATAAATTGGTTCTTCGAGGTCCCCCATTTCGGTTAACGTTCATAACGATTCCGGTCGGTTACAAAGTAAACATACAGTAATCGAGTACTGGATATACAAGTTTTAGTAGCTATACAAATTACGAATAAAGGAATAATAATAAAATGACATTAGCGCATAGAATTAATTCAGAGTTAAATGTCATTCGAATTGGACAAACATGTAAACAAGTAAACGGGTCTATAAGTAATTGAATTAAGGCTACGGGTAACGCAGACACTTTAGTTCAGAGTTCAGAACCACATTTTCCTGGTATGGTATGTCTTTCTTTTTAGAAACAATCTGTTTCTGCACGTTCAAAGTGCAATTCGACTACGCTAAAATTCATGACACAGATGTACGGACGGTATCAATATTAATCATTGCTATGCGTTTCGCTTCAGATCGAAGCGACCTTCGAGAACGAGTTTCTTTCAGATACCGCCGACGATATAAATGCTTCGGCGATAATAACGATAAATTTAACGAACAGCAGTCACCACATAACTGAAAGTTTTGCGTACTAACTTTCATTCAATTGAATGATCAAACCTATTTCAAAAGCTCTTTTCAAACTTGGGCAAAAAGTAAATAGAAAGACTGCCCATACCAGGTAATCCCAACTGTTATGCTCGTTACAGCAATGTATCGCCGGCTGTTGCTCTTTTGCGGCTCAGAATTCGGGAGAACTATAGTCAAATGGCGAAATCAACTTTCTCGACTACCAAATCCATCGTGTGGCCCAACCCGAGGGTTCTCTGCTCGAGTCTCACGCTTTCTACGATCGCTTTTTCATTGAATCGCTCGAGTAACGAAAGAAAGAAAGCGAACGGAGATGATAACAGAGAGGAAAAAGATTCGGACACCGATTCGTCCTTGAACTCTGCGTTAGATACCTGTTCGCTGCTCTATATATCTTCTATTATATTACATTTTATTCGATATACTTTTCCAGTACAGAAATTCGTGCAAATTTTGTTTCCTATGTTATAAAGCGCGAGATCCATCCGGGCAATAGATCGAGAACACAGAAACAGTTAAAAGAGTTCAAGTGAATCTGTGACCCTTCTCGACTTTGGAGTTACAGCCACTTTTACATTTAGTTCATGCTTATAATTAGTTCATCTTGGAAAATAATTAAAGAATAGTCACGCTGGCGAAGATCGTGTAACATATTTATAACGAACTCTAACTTATAATTTAATTTATATCTGTGTCGCAGTCAGCCGCTGAATTTTCCCTACAGTAAGTAGTCGGAGAGGATTACTTTTCCTCGGGGTAATGCACCCTCCGTGTAAATTAATGATACGTATAAAAATATGCTATCTCATAAAATTCTTCCGTCACTTATAAAACATAAAAATTGAAGAGCTAACGAATTGGGAAAAAATTCTCGGTGCAAAGCAGCCTACTTTCTAACGCGATGTTCAGGTGTCTGTTTACCTACGATTCGTAGTTCCCTCCACGTGAACGTTGCGATGAATCCGGATGCGGCGAACGGCTAGATTGAAACTGATTCGCGTCTACCTTACAACCGAGCATGCTACAAAAACGAAAAGGTTTTCGTCTTTAACCAAAAGTGGGGACGGTTAAAGTCCTCTGAAAATCGTTACGTTTTTTTCGTTTCTCTCATTCCCCTCCTAATTCGCGTTTCTTATAGGTTGTTCTGCCGCGCTTTCGCTTTCGCTGCACTATCAACATGTAAAACGTGACTATAAACGATATGGAAATGTTTCTTTTGGCACTATAGATGTGAGCATCGGATGACCCCTTCCTTCTTTTCTTGCATCCATTTCTTCTGTTCTTATGCAATGTTGGTCTGCGATTCGACCACTTTCCGATCGCTAAAACTTTACTTTCTTTCATCCCCTATGTTCCCATCGCTTTCTTTCAGAACAAACAGTGGATTCCTTTCCGCATACGAAACTTCCAGGCTTGCGACGAAAATTGCTCGTCAGGATTTCGTAAATTAGCCAGCCATTAGCGTGGAATTAGGAAGGAAATTGCGAATAAACGTTGGGTCGCCAAGAGCCTCTTGACGTAACACTCATCCTGAAACGTTTGGAAGACGTTCAAGTAACCTCTGCGAAAAACGTCGAAAAAGAACAGTATCGCTTTCTGATTACGCGTCAGCTTTCGTTTATTTGAGAAAAATATTATTTACATTGCACAGATATTTATATATATGTATGTATGTATGTATGTATGTTTGTATGTATGTATGTATGTATGTATGTATTTATATATGTATATTATCACCAGCATCGTTGAGAAACAAGCGGACAATCGGTTTTCTGAAAGCTCTCTGCGCGACGAAGGCCTTTCGTAAACTTCGAATTCAACTTTTAATCAACTTCATTTTCGTACTTTTGGGCTTTAAATACAGATACAAGCGTGTTCTCTTCGTTAAAATTGAATTTATTTCTCATTATAAAAAATATTAACCCTGAAATCATTATTCTTATAATTTCCACAACTTGCCAATACTTTTTTCCATTTGTCTTTTGCTTTCCACTCGCAATTTAAATGAAAAGAATTGGATAAGTTCAAATTGCAACTCTAAACGTTTCCAGAAGATAATCCAAAATGAAACAAACACGAAATAGAATTATTTCAGCCCAAAACATATCGAAGACGCGCGAAGAGATCCAAATGTTCGGGGATAGCTTAGCGCCGTGGCGTGGTACGTATTACGTGTATAAATAGCAATAAAGACATTAGTAATCAATAATATTAATAATACTAATCATAATTCATAACGGTGTTTACTGCGTGAAGTAACTTTTATAGCCGACAACAACTATCGTTTCTTCTGCGAGAAAAATGTCTCTATTAGGTACAACTCCCCTTTTCTTTCTTTAAGTACTGAGTACAATCGTTATCGTCGTTACGAGCCATTATTATTATTGTTATTACTGTATGCTTATACGTTTTACATTCATTGGGCGATTGTAAACACCAGCATTCGCATTAAATTCCATCGTCTGAACATATTCTTCCATTAGCACTCCTAATTTCCATCCTTCTTCAGCTATCGTCGTTAAATATCGTTATCAAAGCTACTCGTTTTACATCGTTTATAATAAAATACATTTATATTAGTCCCTGGACCTTGTGAAATTTTTCATTGATCCTGCCGCGATTGACATCAAAAAGTATCACATGCGATTACATACACGGTGTCGCGATACGTTCAACGCCCGGTCGGGAAAGGAAAAGAAAAGAAAAACAGGATTCCTCGTGTTTTCCGGTCCGTGGACACTTGAAAATATATCATTTGTTCCTACGCTCGTTTTAAATGCAAACGCGCACGTTTGTCGAGTGCAGAAATGGGCAAAATTCTAGATAATAAATAAATGATAAACTTTTTCTTTAATAAGCCTTACGATGAAATGATGCTTCTCGTTGAATCGATAACTCCATGTACAGAGTTTTCATCATTTATTACTCGAATAAAATTTTGCCCAACTCTGGTTAAGAGTACAAAGAAGCAGAAGAAGCGGACTCGGAAAAACAGAGAGCTACGCCAGTAGCGCGATTGAGAGTAGAGGACAAATCTACTGGCCGCTCAAGGTCACCGTGTGGCTAACCCCCCACCACGCTACTCGACTCAAAGATTTTCTAGTTCGCTATACCTCTTCCGCAAACTATACGCGATAAACAATTTAAGCTCGTACGCACACGGTATCTGGTAAAGTCACTGCGTTTTTGCTAAGCGTTGCGCGTTACATAAAAATGCAAACTCTGATCATCACAGCAAAGGGCAGAGTGTGAACAGAAGAAAACTTCTAAAGAGTATTTCTATCGTTACAAGCGGATACAATGCGTCCATTTAATACTTGATCGCAACGGTGCAGTTCGCCGTGCGTGGGAACAGTAAGCATCTTTATATATATATATATATATTAACATCTCATTTCCTATAAGCGAGAAAACGAACATACGTTGCTGAACGCGCTACAAACGAATATATCCTATTTGATATCACTATCAAATTGCTCTTAACAGCGAAGTATAAACCACGGGTGAACGTGTACTGCTTCGTGAGTACACGCATCGCGCATGTTTATCATATGTATGTATGCAAAATGTTTGCCCTTTGCGTTCTTCCTGGGATACCCTGTATCCATCGTATTAACACTAAACCGTGAATTCGTGACTGTCTTTACGAATTGATGATCTCCCTTCAACGGTAAATGCCGTCAACGTGCGCGTCAATTTTCATATATATATATATATATATATATCAACAAACAAGTAATTTTGCGATAAAAGGACGATAAAATTCATCGAACAAATTTCCCAGCGATACGACGCAAACGGCTTAAATATAATATGCTCTCTAAAATAGAACAGACTCAAAAACTCACTCGTATAAAGGATAAAATGTAGTGCGTATAAAATTCCTAACTCTATAAATAATTTCTATTAAGCGCTTAACACGATAATCGTCTAAACTAATTACATATTATGAAGTAATATAATAGTATTATATTAACTTAATAATTTTATAATCCAACAATGTGCAGTATCGTGATATAAACATTATATATTCCGACTCGTTCGACTAATTCGACAACGAAAACCGCTTGTATCGTTAAAAGCGACGACACGATTTTGAAAAGGGCAATCAAATCGTAACGCAATAAGTCAGACGGAATATCGAACGATGAAAATAGAAACGCAAGACCGAGTATCGTCGTTGTTTGAACAGTTCGCAGAGCTATATCTGTTCTATAGCCGATATGAATTAATCTCTTTGCGTATGATTCACGCTGACTTGTACGTTCTTCGGCTTGAAAACGTTCGTTGGCGTGTAAACCCCAAGTACAAAAACTTGTTGCGCGTAATAAATTACAATTCACGACGAAACACCTCGACTAATTAAAAAACAATATTTCATTTTTCAAAACATAAAACAAAACGAGTACTAAGTTTCACATCGAATGTATAACTATTTTACAAAAGTCTACATTAGTAATCATCACCCCCTTAATCGTTATCGTTTCCGTTTTGTAAACACCCAAAACATTATTTTTGTTTTCCTTTTTGAAAATCGATTTCAACCTAACAAGTCCATGATTCGTTATAAAACGTATACCAGTCACTTCTTTTCCTAAATGAATAGAATGTCGTATGATCAGCGAATCCTGGCACGAGGCAGTGGTCGCGTTAGCAATGATTGGGTTAGTTAAATAACATGCGCAGTTATACGTTTGTTAAAAGATAGCACGGGTGAGATTCTTTGGAGGAGTTTTCGGATGACGATCGAGATCATTCATCGAGCATCTTTCGCCGTTAATTTCTCTATTAATTCCTGTAACGGCGCTAATTCTCTTCTTTCTATCAGATTGAATTCCTACGATAAACAACAAATTAGACATACTTTCGAATCGTTTTAAAAATTCGAGCGTTTAATATCGCTCTCTTTACCTGAACGAAAAATATGAAGTGTTTGAACGACGTATTTAAATGTGCTTCCTCGCCGAGCTGTACCACTTCGCTGAAATGTTGATGATAAATATGCGCGTATACTCTAAATAGCCGTTTTAATATTGTCTTGGCGATGGACAAGAAATTTTTTGGAAAAGGGACACCTAGAAGATCGGAACTTGCGTCAGTAAATTACGTTGCGTGTAAGAACAAATTTCAATAAAATAAAATCACTTACCAATTTTCGAAGGGAATAATGTTTCATCGTCTAACTGATCCTGCACCCAGGTCATTAAATAATCGATATATTTGGGTGCTGAACATTTAATTGGCTTCTTGACAGTGTGTCCATCTGCCCAATGATATTCATATTTTGGTCCAGCAGACATAATGGGACAACTTTCTTCTGTACAAAATTCTGTGATGGTGCCGTACAACATGTTGATTTGATTGAAAAAATCAACAGCTGGAACAATAAAAAATTAATTATGCTGTTGTAAAGAATGCATGTGAATATAATTTTTTACTTACTATTTACTGCAACCCATTCATTTAAATCTTCACCCTCTGGAAGCATAACAGCTAGTCTCAAATTCCCAGAGCCCAAGGTGGCAGCTGCATGTTTCATCAAGTCATATTGATGAGTTCCCTCTGGAATATTCTTCTTTGGCTTGAAGGTTTTCGAGGACCTGCTTCCACTTGAGAAATCCATGAAAACATTCTTTAGCATCAATTAACTTTAAAGTACGTGTTAGTCTAAATTATGTCCATAGTACATAAACATTAATTTTTGGAGCTCCTATAAAAGGAGATTTGACCAATGTTTTGTTTGTCTATAAATGCGACCTGTGTATATACATATATATACACAGGTCGCATTTTACAAAAATTTAATGAAGTTACCATGAACTGTTTACTATTTACTAAAATCGAGTACCCATCGTGAACGCAGTCCTGATAAGGGCGGAAATGCTGATATCGATCGATATTAATCATAATTAAAACTACTTGCTCGATGGTAAACGAACGCTAAAAATTTGACGTGCGACTAGCATCGTGTTTGCGTGCAACGGAGCACGGGTGAAAGCTACGAAAAAGAGAGGGCAAAGAATCGTACGAAAACGATGAATTTTTTAAAGAAATTATGGCATCGCGTTATTTTTAGTTAAGCACCTATTGGTCGATCGCGATGTACACGAATTCGAAGGGAATGGGTAGAGAACCGAAATTGGCCAAGCTTAGGCAAGCGAAGGGAACCGACGGGGACGGTTTCTGTCAATATTTGTTCGAGTTGCGATCCGGTTCGCGGGACAAACTACCAATCGTCATCTACGCTGTCATTCGTCGCTCGCTATTGGGTTTGACGGAATATCGAACGAGAAATTCGCAGGGTGTGCTTAACGCTCGCTCGTACCGCTGTTTCGTCGCGGATAAAGTCAACACGGGATCGCGAAATCGTAACGAGGGTGATGTCGATTTTCACTCGAAAGGAAAGGAAAAGAAAAAACAAACACAACTTACAATAGGAAGCTCATTGTGCGCCTGTACGATGACCTGTCGCTAATATTCGATTCACGATTACACGGACTCGCGTGTCGTCAATTTTATTCGAGTCGCGCGACACTACGAGCTTCGGCTGCGAACGATACTCCTTTATATCTACCATACACTTTTTCCACAATCTCGCGATAGACGTTTTGTCAACTACCGAACTACCTTCTCCGCGAACCCTCGGCTGCCCTCGGCCAATCGTTTCACCACGGAATACGTAAATTTATAGAGGCGAAACACTGGTCTCAGGTTTCGATTCTAGCACGCATGCGACTTCTAGGCGTAAAGTAGCTACAACATCTTGATTTTGAGTATCGTACAGTTTGCGATAAAAGAAAGCGATATTTACGAAAACTAAAGTGTCGTGAGATTCTCTTATTTTGCATTCAAAATAATAATTTGAACATACATTTTCGAGGAAGATTTTTATAAAATGGCTGGCATATTCAATTTATTTGGCGGAATATCAGATCTTGATAAAGGTATAAACAAAAACTAGAGGTTACGCCCTTGTAAACATGTTTTTGTAATAATATTTTAAACTTACAGTAAAATAACGCTAATAATAAAATTTAGTATCTCGTTAAATGTACTTCGTAATAAATATAATTTACGCGAACTATTCTTACAGATCCAGTAGTAAAATCTTTATCAAGATCGAAAACTTCTCTTGGAGTACATGGAGCTTCTATTAAAACCCCCATTCAACCGAAATCAAAAGGATTATCGTTTAGATCTAATGCTGATTCAAATGTACCTGCTAGTCTAAATCTGAAGAGTTTAAATAAAGATGTATTTAATAAGCAACAGGAATGTTTGAACCTAAAGGTTTCACAGTTAGACAGCAGTGGCATCAGCAGCAGTCCGATATCACCTCAAAAAGAACTTCCAGCAAAGGTATATATTCAATAATTCAATAAATATAATATAACTTATAATTTCCTTACAGAAGCTAACTTGTCATCCGGATAAAATAAAGAGTGTATCTCCAAGAAATGTAATATTTGACAAAAATAATGTGCAATCACAAAAGCCATTTGATGATTATGTCTTCAAGGAACCATTCCTACAGAGAAATTTAATTATGAAGTCCTACCCTGAGCCAGAAAATCTGGCACCATATTGTGATATGCAGGCTGAATTTGGTACGTTCTTAAGACTTATTAATATTTAAAGTTTAACCTTCTTGAACTAGTGTATTTATCATAATTTATTCTTACAGATAATATTTATTCAGTAGTCCTAGAAAATAAATTTTCAAGTGTATTTTTGGACAAGGAGAATGAGGATGAGGGATTTGTATCAGGTATCATCTTTGTACACTATGAATGTGTACAAGTACCTTATACAAGTTTTTTTTATTGTTTATTTAGAACCAGAACTATTGGAGGTTGAATTACCAAAATTATGTCTGTCACCTGAATTCATTGAAGAAAAACATATGGAAGACTGGACTGTTGATTTATCAAAACTAGAAGATGATGACGATGACATATTCTAATATCGATACTACAACAATCTATTAACTATTTTATTTAATACTTAATTTAATAATAATTCTTTTATTTTATCAGTATTATTTTTCTTTTATATATATAATTAAAGTGTGATTATGAACGTAAACTTGAAAGAAGACTATGTGCCTTAATAAATATTGTATATTTAAAGAAATTACACTGTATAATTTATTTCTATACTGTTTAAACATCTTTCAATTGTTAAACCTAAAAAAACATGTCTGCAGAGAGATGCATGATTGTAATAGCTGGCAATGTAGAAGACTATGCTTTCAATCAAGTATGTTTCATTGCTGAAAATTTATCAACAGTTTTGCGCAATTTTTGTTTTAAGAAAATTTGTAAAAGATCGATCGAATGGAAAGTAAGTCTGACAATATTTCTTTCGAAGATAATATTCAATGCAAATAAATTTTAACTTCTAGCAATGGTTAAAAGAGATTTGTACATGTCATGGATGGCATCACGCTAAATCTCCTTTAATATGGAAGGAAATTGGATTAACTAGAACTAATATTTCTTACATTGGAAGTAGCTATCGTTTTTCGAAGTTCTTACGTAAATATTACAATATCACGTTAGACTTGTCTAAACAGGATCTCGATGCTTTACAGGCGGACTTAATATTTGTAAATAAACATTATCTGTTGGAACAATTTTTAAATCATTCTACTTATATTTATTAAATTTCGATCGCATAGGCTCATGACGTTGAGAATCAAAAATGTAAGTGTTTAGATGGACAAGAAAAACGTCGTAAAATAATGATAATAGGTGCAGGAAGGTCGATGTGCCCAGACTTGGTCTCTGAATTGATATTAACAAAAGAGCTTTGGTTAACTCATGGACTCGTAGTTAATTTATATGATGAGCCAGGATGTTTTTTTAAATTGAAAAGAATTCTTACAGATTCAAAGGGAATTGGTGTAGGTTTAAATGCAGTAAAAGTTTTGAATAATATACCCGATGGTTTAAATGACTGTGACATATTAATTTATCTTGATGCTTTATCAAGGTATACAAAATCCAGCTGTTGTACTCATATTTACCATTAATAATATGATTCTAATCTTTATTATTATCGTATACATATTTTTAGAGAAGAATTCGAAAGTACAGATAGTTGGTTAAAACGAAATTATAAATGCATAAAAAAATTATCTATGCAAATAAATCAACATGCGCCATTACATATGAAAGTAATTTTCTGCTCAATGGGTCCAATATGTTTTTATGTTAATATTATGCACATGCTTACAAAATTACCAAACACAAGTATCGTAGCTGTCAGTTCTCATTATGGCTTAGAACTTGTATATCCATTTGTTAATTTCTTGGGTTTTACTTTACGAAACTTTGGTTGTCCACCTGTTTGGGGATATTTGGGTTGGTTTATACATCATTACAAAGAAATTTAATACTTCCAATGCTTCTGTCTACGCACGAATGATCAATCAAATTTAATTATAGGAGTCAATCATTTTGTTGATATTCATCATATGATTAAAAAATGTGATATTTATCAACCCAATAGAAGAGCTATAGAATCAAACGAAACTGTAACATTACCAATTGGGGTTCAGCGTTCGGAACTAAGATGGTTTTTCTATTTATCGCACGACAAAACAGATCCTTATCAAAATTATTCCGAACGTAAAGTACATATCCAATCATTCTTTATTATGTACATAATACATAAAAGAATATGAATTCTTATATTTAATCGAATGTTTTTAGTCGCTTACTCAATATCAAGTTGGTAGATCAGAAGATTTTCAAAAATGTAGAGCGATCTGTGATCTTTTGAAATTGTGGTATAGCAAAGAAGAACGAATTGGAGATGAAATTATATCGCTAGGAGTCATTTCTGATGGTAAATGGTGAAATAATAAAGTTGGAAACGAAAGAACGTCTTTTTTTTTGTAGGTTCTTTTGGTATTCCACAAGGATTAGCATTTTCGCAACCAGTCTATTTGAAAGTATCAGAAGATCAGTCGCGAGTATGGGTCCCTTTCACGGATTTTCCGATGCCATACATGCCAATCGAAATATTTCAAAATTTTATAGACACTGCTACTATAGTGAAGGAAAAAATAACAAAATTAAAGAACGAAGAGTAATCTTCAAGTTAAATTTGTAGAGGAAGAATGAAACTAATATTTTATTAAAATATAACATGATTAATAAATAAAATTGCACTGTTTTCGTAACTGACGATTTTTTGTTGAATGGATGAGAAGAAGAGTGATGACAGGACTTCTTAAGATAGTTTTATTACCTAGTAAATACAATTGAATAAATTAGCTAATAAATGTTACCATTATAATTGTTTGAAAAAATCATTACACTTCACCGTGACATTCCTCTAGAAAGATAATTAGTTATGGGAATAATACTTTTTGCCATACATAATGTACTTGAATTTAATGTCATAATTTTCTTTTTTTTGCTTTGTATACAGAAAATGATATAACAAATTATTATTACCTGCTTAAATCTATTGTTAACAACTGGTAATCCATACCATTTTCCATTTAATTGATAATTCTTTATACAGGATTTCACGTCACAATGGTAGACAAATGGATAAGCAATGCATTTCGTATTACCGTGTCATTGTTTATATCATTATTATTCAAATCGTGACTATAGGTTAGTTATGTACCTTCTCGAAAAATTAGTACATACCACTCGTCTATGTATTGCAAGAGAGAGAGTGTGTGTGTGTGTATGTGTGTGTGAAAAGTTCGAATTCAGTTAAATCGTACAGCTTTTTACGTGTTTCGAAGAATGAACGTTATATAAAAAATGACGACCTAAGGAAAATTGTAGAAAGAAACGCGTTAAAGCATAATTCTCATGGAATTTCATTTTCTTCATGTAGATCGATGATTAAAAATAGGGTTATATGTTGTAAATTTCATGATCACATTTTGGAACTGACGCTATTCATTTCGTACAAGTAAAAATAGGTGTTTGGATTGCACGCCGTTACAATAGGTATAGTAAAAACAGTATTCTAACACAAAAAAGATTTGTGACAATTTGAAAATTATGCTACAAAATTGATAGGTGGGGCATATGAAAATTTGTTTAGGCAGTTTTTGCACGAATAGCAGCACGTTTCCCTGTGACGGCCTGAAATAAAAATAATTCTTTGTTACAAAAAAACATTTAAGATATAAATGCTTCTGACACAACTCTTTGCACAGGCATCAGCTACCGGATTACTCGTCATTTGTATTCGAATTGAAAACACAATTACCTGGAAGCCAGATTTTATACTAGCTACCGAACATCTTGACCCACAGGTTTCACACTGTAAGAAAAATAATCGAGTATCTTTTTGAAGAATAGTATCTGGCGAGCGACAAGTGTGACAGGTAACGTATTCTTTAATGTATCTCCTAAGAACATTTTCTATTTGTTTCTGCTGAAAACGACCCTTAATGATAAGTTGACTATTTCCATCAACAGAACCACTAGTTCCTAATTCAGCAAGTAAAAAGTCGAGTAAATGTTTTGGTTGCCTATGAAGTGTTTTACATATCTGCAACGAAAAATCGTGATATAGATCGAAAAGAAAGGATCAAAATAAAATACGAACATCGACGATGCTTACTTCAGTGAAATTAGCGAAAGATGTTTTCTTGGTGCCTATACGTACAACTTGGGGAGGACGCATAACGAATTTCTGTTTTTTCCCTGCGACCATATCAGGGTTCTTTTCCCTCATAATATTGAATACTCTTACCAGTAATTCATCGTATGTATAATCTCTATCGGATCCGAACCATAAACTTGTTTCTTCTATTAGAAAATATGAATTTCACTTAGCATATAACACTTAGATATAACAAAATTGATGGTAGAAATATTAAAGTGGATATTCTAGTCTGACTACTGAAAATCTACAGTACTATGATATATATCTTACTAAATTGAATGAAACAATGGACTAGGATATCCTCTTACAGAGATTTGTGTCTGGTTTCGCTAATCAAACTATACTTTTCTTTAGATTTAACTCGGTTTAAAGAAAAATATAATTTATCAAAAAACTATGTTTTCTGTTGTTCAAGATGCATATATAAATACTCTCGTTCGATGTTTAATACATCGCATAATTTTGTCGTTAGAATCAAATTACTTTCATGAAATACGAAGTGATATACTAGTTTTTCTACTGGAATAAGACTTGTGAAAATATAGAAATGATGTATGTACTTATGACTGTTATGTGATATGTATAGGAAACAGCAGACATATCCCTTACCATACTCTGCACTTCGCTCAGATTCAGTGCAGCATGTTAACAAATAATGAGTAACATAAAATAATGAGTTACCCGCAGCTACGACATTTGTTTACTATATAATATTTACCATTTTCTTTATCTTCTATTTCTTTACGCTCTTCTTCCGCTACTAGCTCGTCGAGATCTTTCTTTTTCTTTTTCTTCTTTTTAGTTTTCGAGAAGTCCATATCTAAATCAAAGGTATCATCTACAGGAACTTCTTCCATTTGTTGTTCAACGACATCCTTTTAAAAAAATAACATAAGATTACATGAACTACTTTCAAATTTTTATATTAAAAACATACTTTATTTATAATTGTTCACCTCTTTTTTTGTGTCTGGTAAAGCAGCATCCAGTTCATCTAAATTAAATGCTTTTTTCTTCTTCTTTTTTTTCCTTCCAAAATTTTCTAAATCCAATGCATCATCATCTTCCGCCAATGCAGGTAGATCTGGTTCCTGGTTTTCTTTGTCACCAGTGGTTTCCATCGCATCGCCGGTACTACCACCTTCGTTAAATGCAGCATCAAGATCAAAGCTAGTTTTCTTCTTTTTCTTTTTCTTCTTCAAGGTGGGATCAAATACCTAGAAATTTATTCAATAATTTACGTAACTTAATACGGTTCATAAAAACTACAATAAAGTAGATAAGCATATTAATTTCATTGTATATCTACTTATATTGTTGTTACTAATTTTGTTAAAAATTAATTGAAGAATACACGGAATGTAACGACCGATGAAATTTTGTATCGAGATTCAGTGATATACTCAAAAATCTCACATACAATAAATAGAAAAATGAAATAACTTTAGTACAAATGATTTCATTCTATGAAATATACGTAAAAAATTGCGATACGATAAAATCAACATCATACATAGAACGTAAAGGAAAAAGGGAAGAGTGTGTAACGTATGTCGGGAGACATTACATCGAATATTAATCTGCATTCCATTAAATACTATCCACATGGCTTTGAGGTTGGAATCCGCAAAGCCGCATTATTTTTATTCCATGATCACTTGGCTGCAAAGTATTTTGCTTGCTTGGGTGAACTCTTTATTTCCTTGACCATAGGTCGCAGAGTATTGTCAAAAAATGAAAAAGTATGTCAAGATGACCACGCTCCCATGCTTTACCAATACGACATGGATACCTCTAAAAAGACATTTTCCAATATTCCTACGTACCGAGTCTTCTTCAGTCATTTTGAGTATCGCTGTAAATACTTTGGCGTCTACGACAAAATTAGCAATTCGCTGGCCTTTCTAAACACGAATGAACATTTTAATTGCACTGATTCTCGATCTTTTCCTTAGTATCACCTATATAGTGCACTCACGTCTTGTTAACGAATATTGCATCAGAAATTCGACTTTTACGTCTAAAGGGTAATTCACACTTTCAGTTCAGCAAACAGCTTGTCCCTTGACAAGCATTCCTGTTGGTCAATCACATAACGCCCTTTAATGAAAATGCAACCATAGCATACAGTTTTATCGACTAGTCAGCGTAGACCTTTGTCAATATTTTTCGTCGTAGTATCTTTCTTGGAAAATCTTTCAAATTTTCAGAGCTAATTCTTAAATTATATTTTTTCTTTGCTAATACTCTCAGATATAGATGATAAAACATGTGCCCATAGCATGTAAAATAAGATGTTTAAATTTTCCGCGTCTCGAAGAAATGGCGCCAATTTACCAACAAGAAGGCAGATGACGGAAAAATATCCAAGAGGTTATTTCCCCATAATTTTCCCCGAGTATTTTTCACTTACCTTCCCTAGGCAAAGAATAAATAAATAATTCTTATTATTCATGGAACTTTAAGCGATTCATTTTGTTCAATGCCTTCAGACAATATTCAAGGTTTCTACGCAGATTCGTCTCTGCCCTTTGGCCATAGTACTACAGTCGATTTGTCTAACATTTCTCAGAACTATTAAATTGTCATTTGAAACGTATCTAAATAAATACTGTTATCTCGGTTTTCGAGATAAATATCTCGATCTATCTTTATCTAACGTTCTCATGTAACATGTACCTATGCCATTTAGGATAACCAACATATACGTATAGATGATACACATATAACACTGGGGTAGGAATACAGGTTATGGATCGAATGGTAGTTTATCGTAATTCGTACACTACCGGTGTTGCTGTGATGGTGCCGAACAGGGTACTCACGTATATACGTTAAATATTTCGTTTAATTCAATTCTATAATGACCAAAGTGGTTAATCGCGCCTATAAATTTATGATGAGCGGTGTGTCGCATCGAGATTCGATTGTCAATGTGCCCCAAGGAAAATTAATATGATCCATGTCAGAAGCTGCAGGAAAGAAGCTCGATGCGAAAGATCGTCCGTAAAACAATTATTTCACTTTACTCGAAAAGTGACGCGAAGGTGTCTCATAAACGGTGAATAAAAAGTGATGTGGTGAACAACTCAACGTGTATCTTACTGCGAATCATATATGTCAACAGCCTAAATAACCAAAAGTACGTATCGAAATTTCATAATAAATTTAAATCACTTTCTCCTTACAATTTCTGATTTATTTATAATCCATGGGTATTTTCCCCAAAGCGAATCGATCAATGATCAAGTGAATATTTTAACATATATACTGCGATACTGCAATGCGAAGTAATTTATTATAAACACTACTTGGACGTAGACGATTATCCAGTTTCAGAAAAGTTAAGTAAGAAACGTGCTCCTGGAAATGTTTTTCATACGTTCCCTAGTAATATGTTATTAATCAATGGAATCGGCTAACCGAATCGATTATATTTACCCTTACTCAACGTCGTGTAAATCATTTGCGTTAAACGATTTATGTTTCGTGAAATTTCACGTACGACAAGTTTGTTTATTTATTTCCAAAGGTGTACTATAAGTGAATGATACAAACAGTTAACCTTGAACTGTCCCGTCGAACAAACTTTTTCTTTTATTGATCGTTTTTATACGTGAAATGTAGAGTGTAAACATCGAAATGTTGATGAACGAAACGATGTTCTGCTTCTTGGATGGAATCTGCGTGGAATCTCCTTTGTGTATACAGATGTATCCGATAGGATCCCAGCAAAAATAGAATGCTCATTCACGATTGATACACCATCTATCGTGCATCGATGAATCGTATCTCATTGTCTACAATTTTTTCGTGTATGCATTAACAACGTGCATATACACACTCGATCGATAGCTTACCCTAGCTTACGCGCAATAATTGTTTTGAAAATTGTTAATACTTTGGACCCATGGCATCTGTATACTTTTTTATCTGCAAGGACGAACATACATTACGCCGGTGATAATGCAAACGAATACTTTTCAAAATATATTTTCTATTATTCTTCTATTATTTACGAGACAAAAATTCCCAAAGGAAAGAAGAAAAATGGTTTGATAAAAGTGATCCTTCATTCTGACCGAGGAAGTGAAAGATAATTTTTATAGACAATTTCAGATTTTTACCAAAATCGCCAGGAGTCTGAGGAGTCCCCTTGCGAATTCTTAAAAATTACATCATTCTCTTATTTTTGAAAAGTTGGATTTTCACTTTAGAGAAAAACTTTCTGTATGTTTTCTGTAGGGTTCCATGAAATCTATAAGGAAAGAAACGAAATTTAGTCGAAAAAGATGTGCCCGAGTATAAAAATAAGTGGAAGAACACGCGACTTTCCAAACAGATTAGATAGAGAATTTATCGGGAACTATCCGCGTTTGGCGACCTTCGTCTTCGTCAGTTTTCAGTTATTGTTCTTTCATTTTTTTCATGGAAGCACTATTGCTCATCGGTATATAAAAGGGGGCGTACGATAATCGTGATATATTAACAACTATTATATCTCTTGTCACTGTCGTTGAATGCGTGACGACAGATAGTAATAAATATTTATCTGGATCGTATGTAGCTCTTGAGCGCGGAGGACCAGAAAGATACATCAGTCAACTTGTTTGCGTTTAATTCGAAGTACGTGCGTGAATTCATCCAACAGGATAAGTGTCCGGGGTTGCTGAAGAAATCACGAAACTCTTCTCAAGCGACGGTGTATCAGCATAACACTTGCTGATACTAGAAACACGAAGGAAGAAAAGTGAAAGTACACGTGTACGTTTTCGTTATTTTTATCAATGACTCTTACGTAGATCAATTTGTCGATTTATCGTCTAGTTCAGTATACTAACCAAAGTTTTTGTATTAATTTTTTTTAATAATCCTAAAATGGTCCTAAATTTATTTTGCGAAGGTATTCACCGTGCAAATTCTTTTCACTTTCTTCTCCGTTTACTGATGCGTGTTATAGTTTGTTAGTAGACAATTTTCATTAACTTTTGCGACGCCTCGAGTAATCGTACCGTTAATGTTATCGTTTTGCAGGTCAATTTTTTTACGTAATTTTCGTAAGAGCTTTAGAATAGGTGTTTGGTAATTCGCTATCAGCACTATATACAATTAATTATTAAATAGGTGATATCTGTTTCGAAATATACATATGTAAAAGAAATCTCACAGGCTTCTTTTTATCTTCTTCTATCTGAAAACATAAATCGAAGCAGATAATATATCGTAAATATACTAGAAATTTAATACTGCTTTAGAGAGAGACTTTTAACAATTTTCTTTTACGCCGATGCGAAGATAAAGTTTTAACGAAGACTTCGTATTCGTCTAGCATTTAGATAAGAATTCGAATATGAATTTTTGGTTCGATTCTTCTCTTTGTTTTTAAAATGACGAATGTAATTAACAGAAAAATGACAACGCACGAGAGGAAGTCAACGTCGTGCGACGACGGCCTCGAAGTCTCGGACGATGAGAAGAAAACTATCGAGAATAAAGGAGACGAAGAAACAGCAACGAAGAGACCAAAGTGCAGACTCGACGCTGATGGTCGACTGAATCTGAAAGATATTTTATTATCCTTCAATGGACCAGTCAGCCAGGAACAAGCGTGGGCTCTGTGTTATCAAACGGCCAAGAGTTTGTCACGTTTGCCGAACAGCAATTTCTATGAACTCTCAGAGTTATCGCAGATCGTCCTTCACAAGGATGGCGACGTTTGGCTTGGCGATTTAATCGGTAAAAACAATAGATCCTTATCTCTTTAATTTCTCGCTCTCTTATCGGTGTTTCGTTTGTTTTCGTTGTAATAGTAGGGAAAAGTAATCTGTTTGATTTCGTGGAGCAATGACCTTTTCCATGGTTCTGATGTTTCTTTAAATTAATAATACATCGAATAAAGACTCGTAAAAAAAAAAAAAAAAATAGGAAGTTCTGCAAATGTCAATACTTCAGATAATACATTTGCAATTTCGTTAAAATTTTATTTAAAGGATGACACAGATGTGTCAATCTTTGATAAATCATGCAGTACTTGTAAATGGCTTAAGATATGCGTTCCGTGAAATTTCAGTGCTTGAATAATGATACGAATTAACTGTTTGCACGACGAAGATGTTTGATAAGACTATCGTTACTACAGTTTGTAAAAATTTTATTCGAGGAAAAGAATAAACGATAGTTGTTGAACCTCGTGTAAGAATAATTCGTTATCACTTAATGTTTAAACTTTTTAATGTTACAGAATCGAAACAACCCACAGTTTCGGAAGAAAAGGTAAGTAGTCGAAGTAGAACCTTGGTGAAAAACAAAACAGCGACCGCTAGTTTATATAAAATAAAAATACATTTCTCTTTGACGCAGGCGATGTTTTCATTAGGCATGATGATTTTCAAAGCGCTTGATTTCGGCCTAGACGAACAGGAAGAAAGGCCTCTATCACCGGATCTAGAAGGTCTCATAACGTTAATGACTAGCTCGAGTGGAGGTAAAATGACTTAAGGGAGAATAAACAACTACTCCATAGTGTGATATACAGGGTGTCCCAAAAATGTTGTAACACGTTGAAAGAGGTGATTCGGGAGGTGATTTGAAACAACTTTTTCCTTAGCAAAAATGTTGTCCGAGGCTTCGTTAAGGAGATATTAACAGAAAACACTGACTAATCAGAGCGCGAGGATGCCGGTTGAGCGTAGGCTACGCGCTAGCCGGCTTCGCTCATACGCTACCGCGGCCGCTCCCGAACCACCCCTTTCAACGTGTTACAACATTTTTGGGACACCCTGTATTTAGGGGATCGTCCCAAAATGATTCAATTAATTTCCGTGATCTTCAGGATGCGAAGGGGAAACGGAAGAACGTCGACAGGAAACAGACGACGAAGGCATCGAGCGCGACTCCAGCGATGCCGATGTCGATGATTTCTCGTTACAAAAAAATAATGATACCTTCACAGAAAGACCGTTAATATACTCGTTAAAAAATGTTATGCACGTACGTGTAGTAATATCGTACATATTGACTGTCTGCGTTTCGTAACGATAAATATGTATACTATATTAATTTGTATATTAATTTATAGTTATGTACCAGGCACATGAAAACTACCGTTGAGTCTGCAGAAGCTCACTATAAGGCTGTAATACGGGCATTTGTAGCAGAGGCTTTGGAATTGTCGCAATTTCTTGATACAGTGGCGGCTGAGAAACTGCAAGCGTGTCAAAGGGATGAAGCCAACAGTGATGACAATAAGCTGAACTCGATGTCTGTTCAGAATCTCGATACGTTAGATTTCATTGATTGGGTAAGCATTTTAATGGTCGCGACGCGAAGAACATGTATTTACAATATGATTCATTTTATGGGTGCGTCTGAATACAGTAATATCACTTTCCGATCCCAAGATAGTTTTCAAATGATTTCAAAATTATATGTACGTCTTTAGTTGGCCGATAGCGTTTATGAGATACAACAAAATTCGAATAAATACATATTATGTTAAATTCAATGGGCACTTGACGAGATCGATAAAATTAAATAAAGTCTCGCAATGGAGAGTGAGTTACTGTACATTACATCGACGTTGAATCGAACGAATTATTGTACAAGTATCCGAACGTAGGCATGGTAATTCGTGTACACGGAACAACCAACGTTACCCTGTCGTATAAAGTCATTTATCATTTTGCAGAGATAAGATATTTGAGATTTATTGACTTGACTCTCTACCGTTATAGACTGACATTAGGATTTGGCGGGCTATACAAGTATGTCATCGTCAATAATTGTTTGCGCATGTGAAACGTAAATGTTAGAACTTGGAGATGACTGTCAATGCGAAGCATGTAGCACGATTAACGATCATTTTGAGCACTATTTTAAGATATTTAACTTGAACACCGCTAACATGTTAGCGAACTCACTAATTTGTAATTGCATGTTAATAAATAAGTAAGCTAATGGGTAAAATTTCTTAAAAATTAAAAATACTTTTTAGATAATCTGCGTTACATAATAGATATCGATATCGCTTGACGTTTTTATTGACGCAAAGTTAACTCGATATGTAACCTTCACAGATTTCTGAAAGTGACTCACTTTGCGTATAGATTCTATCTTTTCTCAACACTTTACCGTAAGTGATACCAGGTGAATTAAAAGAACGATTCCGATAGGCACGATTTTGGGTACAAGTTATCCAAGAGTTGAGGAAAGGGGTGAAACTGAAAAAGGTAGAAGCCAACTTGGGTTCGAAGACCACAACTCGAGGACGTGGAAAAGGGGCAGAGTTTGAGTTGACCCCGTACGAAATCTTAATGGACGATATTCGAGAGAGGCGGTATCGTCTCAGGAAAACACCGTCACCGACGCCGCACTTGCGAAAAGACGCACACGCGATTATTCTCGAATTTATTCGAAGCAGGCCTCCTCTAAAAAAGGTAACGTGTTTTTCAGAACAGTATACAATTCTCAATCTCATCGATACGAATTTCTGGTTATGTAATTGTCGAGAGAATTGTACGATACGACAATTTTTTTAATAGACTTTAGTGATATGATTCTACGCAGGCATCCGAGAGACAGCTACCACCGCTGCAAAAGAACTGGACCTTACGAGAATTACTCATGGAGAGCATAAAAAAGCCACCGAACTTAAGATCTTCGCGCAACAGATACGTTCCTAAGAACGAGAGAACATCTCCCCAGAGTGGTAAGTTACGTTATCTGTTTGCTCGCACAACAATCATTTTTGCATGTTACATGTCGTGCTGCTTTATTAAATACATCTTCATTCGTGTATGAGGTTTGATAAATCAATAAAAATTCACGTATCAAGTTTACATTTTTCGCTACTCATTGTTGATCCATGTGGTACCTCGGTAAGTTTTCTCGAGATAACTATGCTGTGCTAAAATATCAAATATTTTACACTTAACAATAAACGATACACACGCAATCGTAAACAGGTGTCAGTATATAAAATATGTTCGACAAAAATAAATCTGAAATAAATAAACGAATTAAACGAACCAGGCTCGCACAAATTCTAATCTTTTTATTTGTTTTATTTTCTTTTCTCTTGTTTCTCGAATTTTATAAAAACGAATATCAGACATTCCTGCTTTTACGGAAGGGAGGTCCATGAAAGATAAATTTTTCATTGGACGCCAGAGAAAATGTCCGAGTTGGGGCAATGGGAGTGCACGCGTACACTCCAAACATTATGGACCAACGATGCCTACACAGCCACGCGCCGCTCACGTGTAACTGCATTTTTAACGAAAATGTATTTAACGAGGAGTATCCATGCGCGAGGATGCAAGGCATGCGCGCGCGTGCAATACCACACAGGCCTGGCACGTCTCTCTCACCCCTAATCTCGAGAGTACAGCCTGGCAATTCCACGCAACACGACCAGAACATCGGTATCCGTGTCTTCATATTTCTAGAATAATAATTCCCCTCCAATGCTTGCATCCCCGACATTTTCATCCTACAAAATTATCCAAATACTTGATTACTTCTTAAATTAATTCTTGCTAGAATAGTGTACGTCAATTCGATAAAACTGTCCTCTCCTAAAGGAAACGAGGGTATCATCCGAAATAATCCCAAATTTATCTTCGTTATTATACAATAATGATAGAATCTCAAACTAAGATTAGATATAGCAAGAGAATTTCGTGTCCATTTCTGTGTGATAGTTTTTGTTCTCTATCTCGTGATTAGTGTCTTTACCAAAGAGGGTTGTGCTCTAAATGAAGTATTCCACGAGTATACAGCAGAAATCCAGAAAAACAGTTGTCTCTTATTTCTTTAAATTGTGGTAATTCAGAGCTTTCAATTCAAACTGATTCAATGGACCCCATTGAAAAAGTTCCATAACTATTGTGATCACTGGTATGTACCAATACTTCATCAATATACATATACTGTACATATGTATATTACTCTACACATCCCCACTCCCCCTAAAGACAACAAAAGAGTATTATTCTAAAACACATTTAGCCCAGATCTAACTTCACCAGTGTATACTATCAACTGTGTTACATATAAGAGTATACCAACTCGACACATCCCCTTTAATCTTAAAGAAAACAAAGGAGAATTATCCCAAAATACATTTAACTCAGACCTATCTCGATCGTCTGTACCAACTCGATACTTCCCCCTCCGCCAGGAACAAAAGACTACCATTTCAAAGTAAGAATACAAGAAAATTTCGCGTGCCTAATCTCGTGTGATTTATTTCTCGCGCGTTAGGTGTCTCGCGTTTACAAAAAGGGGTTGTATGGTCTGAATGAATCATGTTTCGCAACGGTAGGCCGGCTTAGACGTAGCGAGCCCCAGACCGACCGCGATCAATAACCGAAAGCGCGCAAAGGCCGAGCTGACGTCGCCCGAGAGAACGTCATCGTGCAACAAACACTGCAAGTCGGATCCGGTGATTCCTCGTTCTTGCGTTGTGCGTTTGTGTTTCACTCGCTTCCCTACTCGCGGGGGAAAGGTTCAGGTCGAGCGTGAAATCCTGTCGGGTGTCCAACGTGTACCAGTAAGTCGAGTGCACCGAGAGAGAGGAGAGCCACACTAACGAGCACGTGTACTTGATGTACAGTCCCTACACGAGGATCCATGAGCACCACGGCGGCCCGGACAATGGAGCACACGAACGGATGAACCAAGTGATCTGGAGCCTCCTGAACGCTGGTAACTACGAGCATTTTTACGACAAACTATCTATTTGTTTCTTTTGCTTTGACGATGAAAAACAATAGGAGTTATCTCGTCGTGGCAGAGCTGAATTAAGGCATAGGGATTTCAGAAGCTATAGTTAGAAGACCTTTGCCAGCTGGAGGATCTTTGGAATTTAGAAGCAATTGTGCACAAGCAAGGAACACAGTAGGATGGTGATATCTACACCCTTGTAGTAAACAATGGCTTGACGACTTTCTTTCTTAGTACTCAAAGGGAGAAGATTCTCCAGGACAAAGTATTTAAAGAATGTGTGTACATGGTGGCTAGAGTTTCCCCATGTATTAGTTTAATTTCTTGGTTGCTATTCATTAAAGCTTCTGGGTGTAAACCACGTCCTTTTTTTAACTGTTCTTAATAATCCGACGTTGATTCACAGGTCGCGTGTTTGTTGAATCGAGCCTGAGGATCGTGGGAGATACCAGCAAGAGCGGTATCCAGTCGGACGTCGTGCCGCAAGTAGAGCTACTGTAAACAATTTATGAAATAGAGAAGCTATGCACTAGAGAAAGTGGAAACAGGTGGAAGAGTAAGGTGGTCACTGGTTCTTAGGCGGTGAGTCCCGCATGATAGTCTTGGGTGAGGTACCACCGTCGCAGCCGGAGCAGGAACAAGAACCCGCGCAGGATGTGGCGGCTCAGTGGTTGCAGACAGAGGATCAGACATATGCCACGAGCACGTCTTCGACGACGGCAACAGTGGCTGGTAGAAACACGACGAATGTTCCGGCCACTGCGAGCAGGAGCAGAACGAACGTGCCACCGGTGCCGCAACCGAGGCAGAGAATCGGAAAGCCTGAAATCAGGATAACGGGAAACAGGAATCGTAAGTCGCGTAGAAGGCGCATTACGGTCGCAGGTAATCATACCATTCATTTTCTGTTCGACCAACCCGACGATAGCTTAAAGTTTACAACTGCGTGTAGAATGATTTGAAAGAAACATGAAAAGAAATGTAATTTGTAATACACTATATGTAACTTGACCCGCGCGCAGGAAATACTTATGTACGTATTTAAGATTAACCGAGGTACCACAACTTTGTGAATGTTTTTTTTCCCCTCCTCACAGAACAAATCAATCACACGTCATATTCACTGGCCATCGACATACATATATCTCTGTGCTTTCTATAATAGTCATCGATTCGGTTGAAGTCTGTTCGCATGAATCAAATTTTTAGATCAAACTCACAGTAGCTCTGACATCAAAGGAAACGAGTCACCCACAGCGCCGAAGCCTTCTCGAAGAGATCTGGATGGTTCGAATTCTACGACGAGCAGACGGAAAGTAATACCTGTGGATTTTGACTTGAAGGTGGATATTACTTCCATTCTAAATGTGCTTTGTATTATAGGCGTTTTTGTAGATTAGAATGATATATTTCACCTCGATAAACAGCTCGACGCCGAAGACGACGACGACGATGAAGATTACAACGAGGAATTCACGGTAACAAGATTCGAGGAAGAGGATGAAGCAATGAATTACTGGCATCTTAAAGAGGACTACTCTTTCGCGGACAGAGGCAGTAGTCGCAATAGACATAAAGATCACAGAGACGAAGATGAAGCGTGTTCTGCTAATCCTTGGCGAAAGACGGGTGGGCTTCGTTTAACGAGAAACGAGTATCATCGATTCTGCGATGCTCAACTTGAATGTAATTATCATCTACGTATTAATATTTGGCTCTAAACATCTTTGAACCATCGTAAATTTTATGTTTACAGCTTACGACCTCGCAACACAATGCCCATCTAGAAGAGCATCGGCTCGAAAACACGCGGCTAGGCGCAGTATAGCCCTCACAGCATTAACCGGTACAACTTCTCTTCCTCATTCGAGACCGCAGAGTCGTCAGCACGTAGGCGTGACAGAGTCCGCGTTGAGTCAGGGTCCGAGTCCCAATATTAGCCTGAACCCTAGTCCAAGTTTGAGTCCTCAGCCGAGAGCAAGACAGCCTCGTCGTTCCCAAACGATTGCTGAAGGTACAAAGGATACCGAACATCACACCGAAGACTGGCAAGATGATAAAGGACAGGTAGGTTGAACGGCTGGTCGAACACTCAAGATGGCGACCAAATTGAAGAATTATGCATTAAATCATATATTCCCCTTTTTTAGAAACCTACATTGGGTGACATGTTCCTGGATGAAAGACTTTCCCTAACTCTCGAAGAGATCGTTCACATACGTAGTGTACTCACCAAAGCCGAATTGGAATCTCTACCTGTAGAAGGTCGCGTGAAGGAAGATGTGGAAAAAAGGCGGGTCTGTTTCCTCTGCCTGAAGACTCGATTTGGACTCTTAGGTCCTTGGGGACAACGTTGCCGTTTATGCGAAAGAACCGTATGCGTCAAGTGCTATTCAAAAGTGAGTTTTCGACCCGTTTAACAGATAATTCTACTCGATAATTACTCTATTCGACTATTTTTATTCACACAACTTACGTTGCTTTAGATGCGAATCCCAACAGAGCATTTCGCACATGTTCCCGTGGTTTTGCTGTCACCTGGTCTTCTTCTTTCGCCGTCGTCATCGGAACCGGATACCAGCAAGAGTTCCTGGCTTAGGGGCAACGGAGCAGCTGGATCTGCACCGGCATCGCCAGCCTCTAGGCGCAAAGACTCGTCACTGAAAAGCGCAACACCTTCATCAACGCCGACTACAACACCTGTTTTGATACTTACACCGACTTCGACACCACCTTCTCACGCCCGTAGAGAAGTGGAGAGTCTTGATAAAAGGTGACGATGACAATTGATTCTTCAGTGATATCTTCGTTTCCTTTTTCACTCGATAAAGTTTTAATCTTGACCTCGATTTCTGTGTCATAGGAGTTTCAAGAACAGCGGTAGTCCAGCCAACGTATCATCGCCAAAGACATTCTCCAGTTTCTCTAGTCACTCTTCGGAGCAACGATTGGCCGCAGAAAGATTGCGCGGCGTCTCCATGGTCGTCTGTCACGATTGTCGCATAATGGTGATACAAATAATTAAAAGTTCAAGAACAACACGGGCTACGATACGCAACAATGTCATTTCGCGACTTACTTTAAACCTTTCGCCAGCCTACGTTTGAAATTCTTTCCCCATCTCTCTCCAGAAATCGGATGTTCTTAAGCACCAGATTTCTATTGGAAGAAAGCGCATTGTCTCGTTTTCAATTCTACTAAATGGGTAAAATGCTACTATGCCAGTAAGTGAGGCACGTAGATGAGATTTCTTCTCCTTGTATCAACGTCTTCTCGTTCTCCTTCTATAAGTAATCTTCTGCGAATAGTCACCAGTATCTCTTACAATACAACGAGCATATCAGTTGCTACGAATTGTAATCGTATTTCAAAGGGTCAACTGTCATATTGGTTCTAAAATTTAATATGCAACGACGACGAAGCATTATAGACTATCATTTACGTTTGACGAGGCTCTGAAGCGGATTTTTTAAATATCTGTATAAATAATTTATTTCTTCCCTGCTGTGCAGTTACCTGAAACGATAATTGAATAAGTATCGCTCGAGGTAGTATTTTTTTATGAAACACATAGAAGCAGATTATCGTTTATCGCCAACAGGTCAGGAAACTTTGTTTAAAAATTGAAAGTAGAACATGTTGGAAGTACGGTGTGGAAACAGAAAATAGGTCTAAAAGTATTTCAGTAATTAATGGTGGAATTTCAAACATGAGGAATCTTGTACGAAAAACCGGCATTACAGTGGCATCTAATATAGTCTACGTACCTACATACAGGCTTATATCTAAGTAGTATCGTTAATGCATGCAAATTTGAAAAATGATATAGTTAGAGTCGAATATTTCATTACGATGGCTAAGGCTCTGTTTTGGTTCGCAACGATGGTGAACTACTTTTGCTTCCCAATTCAATGATAATTATTATAGAGATAAATTTAATCATAAAAATAATGCTAACTACGCTGTGTGTATTCTCAACTCATAAAAGTTGAGAGTCCTTGTTTAACCCGATTGATTGTTTCGGGCATGAATATTATGTACATTTGCTCCCAAGTTGTTGTGAACACTAAATCTAAGTAACATCGCATTAAAAGTAAAATTTAGTTCAGGAAATTATCTAAAGGAGATCAGCGATAAAGTAAAATTGTTGAAACGCTAAACTTAATCGACACACACACACACACACGCACGCGCGCGCGCGTTGCCAGAACATTTGTTTCATGCGATAATATTTATGCGACAACAAATTTGGGTAAGTCCATTATAATTTGCCGATATGCTAATGCGCGTTTATAACGTACATATTTGCATCGTGCCACTTGTTCGGTTTTTAATTTTCACGCCGTATATGCTGTTGATTCTGTTTAATCGTCAACATATTCAATTTTTGTTAATAATCCAATTAAGGCGAAAGATACGCGTACGATAAGCCCACATACTTATCTAGTTAGAGAATCAATCAAATACTCTGACTACACCCAACGATGTTTACTTTGCGTCCGCGTGGCATTCAGTCTATAATCTAAGAAATATTATTTAATTTACAAAGTCAAAGTCGGATGCACAATTGTATAATATGTCTGTTGTGATCGAATTCGTTAATTTAACATTTTTGTCTGATGTTCGTGATATTAATTTATTATTTTGTACGTTCAATATTTATTATAATTATTTATTTAACTCTGCGTAAATTCGAAGGTGTTTCTTTACACTATAAGTATAATTGTGGATGTATTTTATGCGATTGGTACGAACGTGTAGTGTAATTTTCTTATTTTGTTGTTTGCTTGTTATTATTATTTAAAATACGAATTATTTGTACAACGTTTAATATTAAGTGCTAAAAGATTCTTTGTTCCCCGTCGTATTTAATACGGTTTCAAATGAATTAATTGTACGCTGAAACGAGTCGTAAGACGGAAGAGAAATGCATTAAGATGTGGCTCTCGTTGCAGCCACACATAGAGATTTAGTACAATGAAGCGACTGTTCGCTTGTACAGATTAGTGCTGTTAAAATGGAAAATGTACAAACGTAAATCGATTACGATTCAGAGTACAAACGAAGAGAAAACGAAAGAATACGAATCGCATTACGAATAATGCTGGGTACGGTCTAGCACTGAATTGTATGCGTTAACAGTGAAACTATAAATTTGTTGATATGTGATGTACATTGGTGAGTTCCACAAATGGACGGATTGTTTCGGTTAAAACGGAGTTTATTTATTTTTTTAGTCACAGATAGATTTTCCTAATGATTTCCAGCAAAAATCAAAATGATACACACGTCATAGTACCTCAAAAATGATGTACAATAATAGAATATCGAAGACGAAATCTACGTAACGAAATGTCCCCTCAACGTTTTGCGCGATGAACGCCAGTCATGATTTTCTACTTCTAAAATGTTATTATAATAAAATTAACCTAGAACTTCTCACAACAGAGTCACAACGCTACGACATTACAACAAGGCGTAAGAGGATTTATATGATGGTAAAAAATCATTGATTATATTAAGTTAACATTTTTTATGTGCAATGTATATGTATACCAATGAATGATTATTAGAAATCTTGTTTTTATGATGAAAGTGACCAAAATATATTTTATTCCAATCCATCATTTAAGGCGTTTTCTCCAAACAGAAGTTTTACTCTTATTCTGTACTCTATTGTAAATATTGAAATCGTTACAATTACGTGCAGGATGATTTTCACAAAATTATCGATGCGAGTATCTAAACTTTTGGAATATATTTAGAAAACTGTTCACACGGAAAACGTTTAGTATCGAAGAGTAAATTTTATCGTAAAAATGATTATTTCTTAAGTGGTTAAAGTAATTTCAAGATAATTCGAATCCTTCGAAAAGTTCGGAAACTCATCTTCAAATATGACCTTTCTGTTTAAAAAAAAATCATTTTCACTATATACAGCACTAAAGCTAAACATTTTTGTATAAACAGTTTCGTTAATATGCCATTGATTTTTAGAAAATAATCGCATCGTTCGATCAGAAAATATCATTCTGTACAATTGTCCTCCATCGTTCGTTCAAACAAACATTAAAATATATAACGATTAAGTTACGAAACAATTATATAAAATAATACGTCCATTGATGTGTTGATCTTTTTGTTGTACAAAATACACTATTGAAACGGAGTCAAAAATAATTCTCGAAACACAACTAGAATCTCTACATTTCTTATAATCGTCAATTTAAAAGTCGATTCAAATATTCCGTCGATAAAAGCAGATGAAGAAATGTTAACTAACGCGACATTTGTACAGATTATTATTATTAATATTATTATTATTATTATTATTATTGCTATAAGTATAAAATAAGATCCCGTAAATTGATGAGATCATTAACATTTCTTCGTCTTATTATTATTAATATTTAGCTATCAATTCCCTGAATGATGAAGACTTCCTGAATATTAGAATCGATTGTTCAAAATTTTACGCATGCCCTTTGTTCCTTTATTGCCATTCGAAATGCCATCGAGTTTCTTTTTTTTTTAATCGGTCGAAGTCTTAATTAACATGAAAAAAAAAAAAACGTACTTCGTTCTATATTCCCTTAGGATACTAATATCCTAGTATTTACATTAATCAGGCGTCGGAATATTATTAAAAAAATCTTATTTCGAAGATCGTACAGTATCGATCATTCTTTCGAAACAGACGTTTCCTAAAGTGTAATTAAAGCAACAATTTTTTCGACAATCAATTACCGAAATTCGCAATATTATCTTCGCAATGAAATTGAAACAAAACTTCGCATTACGTCTCGTGAATCTTGCTTACCGATTAATTAATACAACACTCGCTAAGTATAGTTCATTCGACGCGTATAAAAAGTAATATTTACATGTAATACTGACACGTCACAAAATTTTCTAATGGATTTATTGAACGAATGAAACTTATGTTGGAAAACTAGTACAATATTGTGTAACGAAAATTCCAGTGAGAAACATTATCACAGCCGTTAATTCTATTAGATGCGTATGGGAAAATGGAAAATCACACTGATCGAAAATGTTGAAAGTTTCGTGAAAAACATAAAAAAGGAAAACGTACAAGAGAAGTAACGTTAAATATAATCATCGATCGAAAACAAGATTATGCGAACATATACACAAAATATTCTATACGCGATGATCTATTAAAATTATAAAGTAATACAAATACACTTTAAAGCATGTAAATATTAATTCGTAGATACAGATGTATTTAAACGCAGTAAAACAGTTTTAATAGACAGTATTAAAATTATAGATTGTATTTGCAAAATTTGAAGAATATAATACCACAATTTGCTCTTTGAATGTTTATAATTTTCATACAGCTCAGCTTCGCGATAAATGTTTCATCCTTGTGCTACAAACATCGATAGATTTTCTTCAAACTTTGCCAATATAATCTTGATTGGTATCTTACAGATCCCGTTCAGTACAGTGGTTGACTACAAGAGTCAGAATATTGATGGAATACCCGACTATTCTATGAAAAATGATTGCTTTCATTCAATGATCCAAGTATTATATTGCGAAGCAAATTTTATGGGTAGATCTCTTTGCTTATATTAATCGTAATTCTTGTAACGAAGCTCGAAAAGCGATGAAAATAATTTCATGGTTCGAAAGGAATACTCACGTCTGACTTAAAGCTACTTTTTAATTTCAGCACTTTTAAATATAGAATATCTTTGTACATACATATAAGTGGCTATTGCTGTTTTCGATAGGTAATATGTCATCACTTAAAGTACGAATTCAGCGCACGTTAACGTTGTGTTAAAAGTAAAACGAACTTCGTAAGTACTGGAAGGTCGCAAACTGGATCAGATATCAGCGTAATCGCTGTATCCTGATCTAGTAATCGTTTCTCTACAACGCTTACGATCGTTAAATCCACACTGTAATCTCACGCACACTGCGCATATTAAACGAATTTACACATTAAACGTATATGATTTTATTTACAATTGAGCGACTAATACACAATAGTTTTCTATTGAATCGCACTAATACTACTTGCCTTTATCGATGATTCCAACTAAACATAAATATGAAAATTCATTGATAAACATATGAAATATGAAAATGGTGATGTATAACGTGTATTTTACTTCTCTCTAGCAAAACGTGAATCAATGTTATTATGCTTATCCACAGACGCAACGATCGTGATCCAGTACTTTACTACGGTTGCATAAGAAAATAATATACGGCAGATTTCGATCACCGTGAGTCTGTTCGTGAATTAAGAGTCTATGAGAAGAGACTATAAGAAACGTACTCGAAAAAAAAAAGAATGATCGTTCGAAATGCGAATTATATACACAATGCAATGTCGATCGTAGAACTGTGTGACTGATTTACTTTATTTTACGTGTTCTATATCTCACTCGTGACGTTTAATTTCACACTAACGCGAAGCAAATAACGTATTCGATGCTATCCTAGAGAAATGTTTACAACATAGTGAGAGGTAAAGCTAAGATACGTAAACTCTACACTTTTTAATATCTAATCAGATTTTGTCATTGTTGGCAATCGATTAATAATAATGATCATCATCGATATTCGTCCCGAGATATTCCTGTACAAGATGATGTTCTATAGAGACTCGTTCACGACGTGTAGAAAGTCTGTTCGATGTGTCAAGAGAAACACGATTACAAGAGTATCTAAGAATAATTTATTCGATATTTTTGTTTAACGCGTTTGAGATCATCGTGTACAGGAACACCTACGTAATAAGAATAAACTTAACTTTCGTTAATAAATAAATAGTAAAGACGCATATTAAAGAATGTGATGCTTACTGGAAGACGGTATTAGAATCTGACTGTAAGAGATTTATCTTTGTCTTATTAGACAAGAGGATACGAGGACGCAGTTGCAATACTTTCGTTATCAAGATCGTCAAGGTAATCCGCTACCTTCAATTCGATAAAAGCATTGAAATTCGTTATAAAAGAAACGAAAGGAAAACCAGATAAAATGATACACAGCAAAATTTTAAAACATTTTTTCAAACAAAAAATACCTACCGATCAATTCTGAAAAAAAAAAAGACGAAACAATTAGAATATCTCGAAATAGTTGCAACAGTAGCCCCCCCCCCCCATCTCTCAACTACGCAAATCACTGTTCACGCTAAAAGTGCTGGACAACAAACTCGGCTGTTCGCTGAAGACATGAAATCTCATCTCATCTATTTGAAATTTATGCAATATATTTTTCACTGTTTTCTTTCTTTTTGTAGTAAAGATCCAAAGAAACAACGACATCTCTAATGCCTCTGTTTCCGTAATTTGATACTCAGCACTCTCGTCACACGGCTTTGTATTTATACATAAACAATTGGTAAACAATGATTAACGTATCAGACAGGTAGCACAAATACGTTGAGGCCCAATACAGTCATCGTGGCAAAAGGCGCCGCACTGCCGACATATTACCATAGCACCACGCATATTACATTCACATGGGGGTGGTGGGTCGCCTCCCATTATCATACCAGGTGCACCAGGTTCGGCGCCCCCACCTCCTCTGCCATCGACACCCCTTGCCTTCAACGTCACGGCTTGGTGCGAACCTTCTCCCGCGCTTGCTGGTCTACCACGCACTAAATGCACTCCAACTCCCATCCCAGCAATTTGTGGAGGCAGAGGTGGAGCAGAGGATGCTCTTGGAGCGCTATCTCCAACTCCTGTCCTTTGTACGAGTATATATTGCCCCAATCCACCTGTCGTCGTGGATCCTAACTGTGCTACCGTATTGCTTTCTGGAACCTAAAAATTTCACCTTGTCAGTAGCTATAAAACAAGTCCTCCGTTACGTTTCTTCTCAATGGTATTTAAACTGCTACAAATAATATGTATTTACTCGAAAAAAAAAAAAAACGACAGAAATAAGTTTACTTTATCAAAATATTCGAATTAGCAATTTCCTATTTTATTTTTCTTATATTAACTATGTTTATCATATTCTTAGTTATGTCGTTTGTTTTAATTTCTACAATTGTAACGGAAAACATGTGATTCTCGCGTTTAATAATTCCTAGTAAGTTAGAGTCAGCGATAGACCTTCCATTACCCTCGCATTTTGTTTTTGAACAAAAATATGTAAAATGCATTGGTTGAATAAGTTTTCATCGACTCGTTATTTCGATACTATCACCCCCTCTGAAACTGAAGATTGTAATGTCGTATTTGCTACTTTTAGAAACTCAAAACTAGTAAGAAGAGTTATTTATGTAGGTACCTGTATGATACAGTGATCATCACAAGCCACCCGCAAGATTAGCACTGTGCACACAGAAAAATATAAAGTAGTATATGATGCAAGCTTGAGTTTCTATTCTATACGAGTGATCCATATGCAGATTGCGAGATTAAATAAATGGAAATAAGCATGTCTGTGTTCCTCCAACGTATTATTTTGTTCAAATTTCTACTGTGTTGAAATATTCAAAATGTTATATTTTTCGTACGGTTTTTAGCTTAACAGTTTTGCGTATACTTCGTAACTTATTAGTTTGCGAATGAAAGTTTTTACCTATCCATGCATTTTTTGTATGTTTATAACTGGTATGCAAGCCACGCACGTTCGAGTCGAGAATAAAACGAAAGAAAAATAGTGCAAGCTACCGCAATATAATTTTTCAAAGAGATATGTCGTACCTCCGCTGACGTAGCTTGACGCGCTGTGGTAAACACGTGTCTCAGCATAACTGCTTGGGTTTTATTTTGAGCTTGTTTGTTGTGTTGCATTGTTTGTTGTGGTTTTTGAGTTTTGACGGTCGTAACCGTACGGCCGCCAGATTTATTAGTAGTAAACGCACCATCACCTCTGGCAAGTAAGCTAGGCGGAGGCTTTAAATGAGCTTTCAATTGGTCTCTATTTGGTGAACTTTGTATAACCTGTAAAGATAAAAAAAAACGTTCACATTTACAATAATGAAAAAAAAGTTATACAATTTAGAGTCTCCAGAAACATTAGGATTACTCAGGACTCTAAAATCCAACATCGAAGAATAGAAAAAAAAATAGAGGAATTGAAATTTCGAACTCTTAAAATTAAGGATCGTCGTTTTACTCTTCAGGTTCTTAAAGCATCAAACAATACAATAGTGTCTTTTCAATTACCGCTTGGCATATCTGATAGCTGCGTTCCAAATTAACTGCACCAGGTGGTTCCTTTGTAGTGCTGCGAGATCTGCCCCCTCCTTGTTCCTTATTGTTATTTCTAGAGCCCCTTTGACTGCCTTGATTAGTAGAACGAGAGGATCTCGAGGACACCGCGACCGATGCTCCGGGATACTGTTGCTGTTGGATGGTCGCGACGACTTGTCGCGGTTGTGTAGGGGCTGGCGTTTGATGTTGAATAACGATAGTGTTTTGCGCGCGATTCTGTGGCTGCACACCAATCGTAGCCGGCACGGGATTCGGTACTTGATTTTGCGTTGCGTTGTTTCTAACGTTTCGCGCATTGTTATTCTGGACGTTTAATTGAGTTACCTCTTCTTGCGTTCTCATTATGTTCACTTGTGAATTCGTGTTTTGTTGATTGGGAAGTTGAGCAGTTATCGGAGACGTACTATTCAAAGACGGGGCGGCGGTTTGGTCGGAATGAAAACTGGTTTGCACGAATCTGATTGATTGTAATTGTGGAAACGCGAGGATTGGCGAACTTTGAGATTGGAAGTTCTTCATGATACAACTTGTACCCGGTGTGCCAATCGCGAGACTCTCCGACTGAAACTGAGTGCCTTGAACAACTGGTAGTTGAATACAGTTAACCGATTCCACGTTCGAATCCGCGTTAATGAACTGTTGAGATTGATTCGTCGAATCAGTTGTAGTAGGTGTATCGTTACATTCATCCTGAGTAGTCACTGTAATGTTAGCAGCTACAGATCCATCCAAAGCTGCGGCTACTAGTGGCCACGGAACTTGAAGTTCTTCCTGTGTCTGTACCAAGTAAACAAAAATTCCTTTAATACCATAATTCGGTTATTATATATATACATACACACACACACTTACCCTGTTGTTATTATTAATATTATTAACTGTTGGGTCTGACCAGCTACACTCTAGCATTTCAGAATAAACGTAATTATTAGCCTCTCGAAGAGCTTCGTCTTCATTCCCGCCGTTTACATCTTGCTGATCTCTAGTGGTTTCGGGCTGACCCGAAACCACTTGTGTTTCAGTCTCTTCTCTATTATTCGTTCCCATCTCCATTCCATCGAGAATTGGATACATTATTTCCTCGGGGCACCCCGAAATTTCTTCGTATGCTTCCCGCATTTCTCCTCTCACCTACAAATAAATGCGTCGAGCTATTAGTATAATCGATTAAAATTAAAATTAAAATTTTTCTATAGACAGTATTTGTCTTTACCTCCAATTCATGAATACGTTGTAACGTTTCGCTATCGATCTCCATTCCTTCGGGAATCTGCGATTCACCGTCTGTTGGATTTTCATGAGGAACCTGAGTTGTTTCAGCCTGATTATTGCTAATCAACGTTGTGTCTTCCATAACAATTTCTGTTGGTCCAACTTGCTCGTGAGACGGTGAAGTTTCAAGGATCGTCGTAGTTTCGCAATCAGAGATCGGATAAATGTGCTCCTCGGCAATTTGAGGCATCTCTTCTTTCAATATTTGAGGTACTTCATCTATCGGAGTCTGAGGCGTGCATTCCGTAGATATTTGAGGCGTCGTTTCGCTAGGTGTGTGAGATACTTGTTCTATGTGCTCGCTAGATATCGGCGAGGTATTCTCCTCTGATAAAAGTTTTGTATCCTCTTCTGTAACTTCGAATATATGATCCTTCACTGGCTGGAGATCGTTTTCACTTTTAGGTAATTGAATTTCCTCTTTATACGCGTTCGAAATACTTTCCTGACAAACTTCTGTTATTATTTCGCTCTTTTCGACTACATCTTGCTTCTCCGAAAGTGTCGTAAGTTTTTCATCTTCCTCTGGTTTAACTTGTTGCATTTCGGTATCCGCTATCGTTTCTACAGAACTTATGTTTACAGATTCTAAATGTTTCTCATCTATTAATGTATGTGTTGTATCGTTATATTCTGCTGGTAATAATTCTTGTAATCGCGCTGTTTCATTCAATTCGTCCGAATTATTAATGCTAGGGTCAATTTTACAATTATCTTCTTCGATTTTATCTTCAGTCATAATAATAGGACAAGGAGTATCCGATACAGGTATATCTACAGTGGATTCCAAACGAAGTCTTAAACTTGAACGCGTTACAGCTCCGCTGGATCTTGACTCCGAAATACAATGCAGACCCGACCTAAGTTTGGGTTCGCGTTTTTCACCCCATATCGGCTCGAAATGCTTCACTTTCCATGGATCTAATTTATTCTTATCCCTCTCTGCTTCCATCTTTAATCGTTGTTGATTTTCTGGAGTAAATTCTCCTTCCGCCAAGCGTTTACGCCATTCCAGACACGCTCGCGCGAAAAATTCATTGTTCAATCCGGATGTGGCGGCATCCTAACAGCAACAGACAAAGTATACACTCACAAAAATCATATTCATTTTGAAGATTTCAAAAATGAATACAATCGTTAATATGCTATAATTGAAAACATATTGACAACGCTACCTGTCTATCTACAGCAGGCAAAAGCTGCGCAAGTTTTCTTTGATACAAAGGTGGTAAACCTTGAAAGGTATGCCTATTTAAAAGAGCACGCAAACTCGTGCTCGCTAGAATACTCGCTGGAGACTCAAGATCTACAAGACCAGCCTCCAGCTGCGCGGTCGCCGACAATCTCTTCGTCGATCGTCTACGCCCAGACTTTAAGCTAAATCCTGGCAAACTAGCCAGGACTTCTCTCATTGTGGCAGCAGGCTCTTCGGTAGCTATATTTATTTAAAATTACGTTAAAATATATAACATATATACGAAACAGATGTACAAACCATAATAGAAATTATATGATAGACATAATCTTTAATAAAATTTACTTGTTGGAAATGTTTCACTCACTATTGTTAATATGCTGTACATTGTTGACCGGAGATGGCGGGTCATTCGGGGGAGGTGGAGGCAATGGTTTGACGACAATCCTTGGCAAAGTGCGAGAATTGCCAGCTGCTATCGTTGTGTTTTTTCTACGTCTTTTGGCCTGTTGTCGTAGTGCATGTTTGATAACTTTTTTGCTGTGCACCATGCTAGAATAGCCAGAGCAACCTGGACTAGTTTCACACCCTTCACCTTTGGCAAGTTCTACATCTGTGTCCATGACAGTACCTATACTTTAGACATTGTTGAACGAAATGCCGGCAAATCGAACGTAAACCCACGGTACCGCTGTGCTCGACGAAACACGGATTTCGTAACGATTTATCTCATATTGCTGCAGAAAGTTCGGTAATACGATTACTCTCTTTCCCTCAAGAAATAAACATTCTTCAATAACACCACCTTCGTGACATCTCGTAACGTTCGAAAAGTCCAAACGTTTCACGCTCTATCATCTAATCCATGTTGTTTGAACGGCGCTCACACACGAAACGCCAGCGAATATACAAACTTCGCTGTTCTTTAATCAATTGGCAAAGTGCCATTCGGAAAAACTCGCAACGTTCCGCTTCTGTCGGCCATATTGTATTTACATATTTATACCATGGAAGCGAACCGTATACATAGAGAGCTATCTAATTTCATACGCATTTGTTACTTGTTACAGATATCGAATAGCACTGAATTTGATTCGATACTTTGCTTCGAACAAAATGAAACTTATAATTGGGAAAATAATTGGGAAATTTTTCTATAGGAGGATAGATAGAATCGTGTTGTGTAAAGGATTTGCAAACCCTGCGCAAAAATAATATTTAGAAGAGATCAAAACTAATTTGCTTCTTATAAAATAGATAGCATTTATTTGTTTTTTGTAAATAATGCAAATGGGGAATAGATAAAAATTATTCGTTAAGGGGAAATTCACTAGGCTTTGCTTACCCCTTCCTCTGTACGCAACTCGATTCGCGCGCCAAAGCGTTTAATCTTTCAAAATATCTAATTTATGAACAACGTTGTCATGTCTTCTGATCTTATTGCATTCTGCTGTTCAAAACATTCACGAATTTCGTGAAATCTCCGGCTTTTCTTTAAAGAAAAAAGAAAACCTTATTCCTATTTATGACACGAGGTTCTACAGTATACGCCACATCGCCATTTTGTCGGTAATCGACTCGATTCAATTTCTGATTTTTCGTACAACATTCTTTCCTCGAATTATACGAACAAAAAAATTAAGTCACGTAGAAAAAGTCGTGGAATATACTGTAAATTACTTGTGTATGTCTATTCATATTCAAGTATGAGAAACATTAGGAAAGGATTTCTATAATGAAGAGGTTAAAAGGAAGTAGGGGGATGAAGTCAAAGCTTGGACTTTATTCCTGGGAAAACAGGAATGTCGAGACATTCTAAAATGGTTAGAGTAGAATAACAGAATGCAATAAAATTAGTAGGATTCCTAAAATAGGTAGACATGGCAACACTGACGCGAGATCGACCTAAGAATTTTTTTCTTATAATTGCCGTTCTACATTTCCCGCCAACATGGCAAATATGGCGGAGCTCGTGTCGTTTCCCGCCAAACCTTCGCGGAGCTCTCGTATGTACTCGTATGGCGCACCTCGGTCCTGTGTAGCGTTATAAGTTGGTCGTGTTTTCCTACGATTTTCCATCAGTTTCACGACAAAAATGGGGCAGTCGGACGACGTCGAGGATTCTACTTACAGTAGACATCAAGATTTGTGTCAGAAATTGAATATGGATGCGACTGCTGCGTCCGAAGCCTGGAAATCCTACGAGTCTATTCGACAGAATTACACTCTCGAGGTATCTTTTTCAATTGCCCCGCTACTATGGCTACTTCGAACTCTATTATTTCCTTCGAATTACTTAAAATAATTTTCGAATTTCTCCACCACACATCGTGGATGTTTTCGATATTCATTCGCAAAGAACGAATAATTTGACTGTTGTGCGACGTTCGATGGTTGGTGAGTTTTGGTTGATACCGTTGAATTCCACAAATTAATTTAGTCCAACGGCCAAAACTCATCAGTTTAAAACAATAAAAGAGAACGTTCCTCGAACGTAACGATTTTCGAATGCAATATGCGTCTCTACATAACAAAAACGAATTCACAAAGAGACCAACTTCTGTTTATTCCTCTCACAGATTCAATTGTTACCACTCTCATGTTTTATTTTCCATATAAAAATCTTATGATATTTCTGAAAATGTATGCTTTAAAAGTTTATGCGTATTAATATTTTTTAAATTATCATGCATACATATATACGTACATAATAAAAATTATATATTGCAACTATTTCCAGGGTGACCAGTTGCATTGGATTGGGTGTGCATTGTATGTAGCATGCCGTAAGTCATCCATACCTACTGTTGGGAAGACAGGTGCTAATGTGGAAGGCAATTGTGTGTCGTTAACACGTCTGTTGCAATTGTGCAATCTCCCCTTGATACAGTTCTTCACGAAAAGTAAATCTTGGGCAGACATGGCCAACATGTCGCAAGACTTTCGTTCAAAGATCGAGAAGCTAGAAGGAAACTTCTCTGTTTCTATGGTCATATTTAAGAAGTATCAACCGATTTTCACGGACATATTCAAAGATCCCGCGGACGATGTCTCGAGGCCACCGAGATCCAGGAGACATAAAGCGTTACCTTGCACACCTGCTAGAGTATTCGAATTTTGTTGGACGTTATTTATTTGCATAAAAGGAGCATTTCCAGATATCTCTGATGACTTGGTCAATTCTTATCATTTGCTTCTGGTTTGCTGTGATCTTATATACAGCAATGCTTTATTGGCTAATAGGAAAGATCTCTTGAATCCTAACTTTCCAGGTGAATTTAATAAATATATACTCTAAATTTGTATAAGCTAGCGCAATTTTTTTTATTAATTTATTTATTCCATTATTCATCGACAGGTCTACCTCGTAACTTCAACGACGAAAATTACAGCCCGCCGCAAACGGCTAATTGTATTGTTAGTTTATTGTGCGAACGTCACGATGCTATCGCGGTTGAAGCTAAAGTTATCAAAGAGTACTACCTGAAGAATCATATTAATCAATTATTTAAGGAAAGAGTTTTGCGCGGAGATCAATCAAATTTTTCTGGTATTCTGGAAGCTTTAAATTTCGATGGTAATAACAAAGCCATCAATAAAGTATACGAACAACACGTACTGAGCGTCGGAGACTTTGACGAAAGAATTTTCTTAGGTAAACATTTTTTTTATTAATTTGCATCTACACATATCGCTTTTAATTTTGCATAGTACTAAGGGATTAATGCTTGTAAATAAAATGAATGTTATTCGGTACATTGCATGTTTGTATGCTTTTGATTTTTAATTTGTTCTGCTTTAAAGGTTGTATTGATATAAGCTTTTTTCGAATGATAAATTTAAGTATTTCGTGCACAACTTCATAGCACATCTAATTTGTTTGTTTTATTATCGCACATTATTCAATTATCGAATCGGCGATAAGTAAATGTATATTCCCTATATGAATTAATGGATGTATAATCTTTGATGTTACCTTCTAAATCTGCTTATGTTTTTTTTATTTACATTTTTTAATAGAGAAGTGTCTGGTTATCTTTATTCTGTGTGTTAATAATTTTCATTTCTTGCTTTTAACCGACTTTGTTTGCTTTGTCTTGCCTATGGTTTAAAGCTGAATGGAAGAGAGTCAGACTAAATGCAAAATCGAGCTTGGAAATAGTCGGAGGAAATATAACTTATAAGTTGATCAAACATATTTCTCTTAAAGGTAGGTTTATGACACATAGGAGGGTTAATTCTGTGCTGTGATAAATAATAATGACATTCAACATACACAGCGTCGTACTTTTGTTTGCTATAAACGATAATTTACAGGAATTTGATACCGATACATACTACATGTTACGTGTAATTTCATATTGTTCTAGGTCATGATGCCAGTAATAATATTGGCTCCCCCACGCAGATGATCAGTATTAATGACCTTCAGGAACAATTTCAAATGAAAAGAGAGCAATACAGCGGGGTAAATATTAAACAACTTGCGTTCGTTCGTTTGATTCGAGAGGCTGTGATTTCAGATCTGCTAAGATACTATTTAATCTGTTGTAGCAGATACAGCACTTGGCTCCGCCCACTCCGTTAACTGGTCGTGGCTACCTTAGACCGAAAGATATTACCAATGTGACACCAGTGTCCACTGCAACACAAAGTGTAATTCGACTGCAAGCGATGTTGGCAGGACAAACATCACCGAGCGAGAACTTGTTGCAAATTTTAAACAACTGTTCCCAAGATGCAAAATCGCTTGTCGAAGTGAAAGTCAAAGAAATTGGGGAACAGTTTTGCGCTAATTACAACAGAAGTACAAATGCTAGTGATGGTACCTCCGACTTTGGAAAGAAGAGACTTTACTTAGGCCAAACTCTATTCTACAGACTCCTAGAAATGATTTTAAACGATGAGAAACGCAAGAAACCAAATTACGATGTAACGGTATGATTATTATTATAGTGAGAGACTGCAGGTGCTTAAGATCTGTGAATTGTTATTCATGTACATGTATTGGTATGTTTTAGAATCTTCTCATGAACGAGGTCTTCATTCAATGTTTATTTGCCTGCTGCCTAGAAATTGTTATTTACTCGTATAAAAGCAACGACAAAGTGTTCCCTTGGATCCTGAACGCATTAAACTTGGATGCTTACTATTTCTACAAAGTAATAGAAATCATAGTCAGAGCAGAGGATCAATTGTCGCGCGATGTCGTGAAGCATTTAAATCAAATAGAGGAGAAAATTTTAGAGTCGCTCGCGTGGCAAAGCGACAGTCCTTTATGGGGGGCCATTCAGTCCACGTCGGAAGGGGTTCCGAGCTGCGAAGAAGTTTCATTGCCAGGAACGTTAGAGACTGTTGACCCAAATATACCTGGACAACCAGTGTTGAGGAGAATCGCGTTGGACCGCGGTACTCACCACGATGTGCAGCAAAGCCCTATCTCCTCCGCCTCGGAAAGATTTCAATCTCCCGTCGCAGCGTCTGGTATAGCCAAAAAACGTTTGTTCCCTGACACTAGAATCGGCGGACAGAGCGTTCTACGAGTAGCTGGTCAAAGTGTCCTGCCATCGAAAGTTTTAACCATCGATGGTAACTCGAGAATACTTCTGCTACCCGAACAGATCACTGTTCCGCGGTCATCCAACGCACCGACCACGAGTACACCGATGCAAACGGTTACGGTAAACAGGGAGCCCGCGAAACCGAAAAGAACCGGTTCCGTTGCATTATTCTTTAGGAAATTTTACAATCTTGCGAGCGTGCGCATGCTAGACTTATGCGGCTCGCTGGAAATAATGGACATCGACCTGAAGAAGAAAATCTGGACGATCTTCGAGTACTCCATCAAAGAGCGAACGGAACTAATGAAAGACAGACACCTGGATCAGATCTTAATGTGTGCAATTTACGTAATATGCAAGTTAGCCAAAGTGGAGAAGAACACTTTCACAGAGATCATGCGGTGTTATCGATTGCAGCCGCAAGCTGAGTCTCATATATACAGGTCGGTGCTTATCGTTAAAACACCCATGAACGAATCGCAGATGAGTAACGAAGAGCCGGGTCAAAACGACGCGGATAGGGAAGCTAACGTGGCACCTCCTACACCTACGAATATGGCTGGAACATCGCAGAATTTCGGCGAAGAAACGCGCGGTGACCTGATCAAATTTTACAATACCGTGTACGTGCCACAGGTTAAAGAGGTGGCGAACAAATTGGGATTGTCGCGTGGGAGCGTGATGAATCTATCGTTGAGCCCGCTCCCAAAGGGAAAACCTCTGACAAGTTCTCCCGTAAGACGTGTCACGGGTAGCATCTTGACGCGTACCTTGGACCCAAAGGCGATTACAGCTTCCCCAGCACCCCAACTTAGTTATTGCTTCAGTCGTAGTCCTGCCAAGGTAAGTCAACATTAATTAAGTAACATTGTATCCCCTTCTTCATTTTCGATTATTTATATATTTTTTATGTTTGTCCTTCCTTAGGATTTGGAAGCCATTAATAGAATGATGATTTCTGTCGATCCAAAGCGATCAGTTGGCAAACGACTCTTATCGGACGACACCGACGTAGAAATGACAGAAGGAAGGTCCCCCATTAAGAAGACAACTGCCTTCGTTGCTCGTAAACTGGAAAACATTATCGGAGAACGTCGCACGCAAAATCAATGAGGAACGCGACCGAGCATTGAATTTAATTATCGTACGCATGGGTAACAAAAGGAAATCGTTTAGAAGACGCTTGACGTAGTTTCCTTTTAAATTTCTTTTTTAAAAAAAACAAAGGAGTAGAGAAAACATGTTCAAAGTCGAATTTTTAATTCTTGGCTGTGTGGCTTAAAATAAACGAAATATTCGCTTCTCAGGTGTGATTATGTTAGACACGGAAAAGCCGCGTTTTATACATACCTAATCGTGTATAAAGGGAACGATATTGTCATATTGAGTAAAGCCAGAATTGTATTTCCAGTGCTTCTTCTTTTTCTTTTTCTTTCTTTTTTTTTTTTTTTTTTTTTTTTTACCTTTTCGTATACGTACGAAAATAGAATAAACTGGGCATTTTCTTCGTATTTTCTTAGATTTTGATATTATTCGTGAACGTTTGATTTTTAAAATATATTCTATTACATAAGCGATTCGTTGTTACTTGATAAGAAATAGATTTTTAATATTATAATCTTAAAGGAGTGTGCAAGCAAAACTTTACAACTGGTTTGAATTGCACGAGATACAAAGGACTGGAAAGGTGCTACCAAGAGTGATTATCTACATTTCACTGGAAATGATTCTGACTTTTGTTGATATCACTGATCAATAGTATTTTGATCGAGCTATGTACTCTCTGAAGTTATATATATGTGTATGAAGAATTTATAAAAGTTACGGCCATAAATGGTAAAAAAACTCTATTTTACCAGTAGATTTAAGCATACTACGCGAGCGATGCAGCTCTTGCAGCATGCAAATACGATTTGGGTGATATTTAATTAAATTTACTAGAGATAAGTTTGAAACTACAAAATTTCAACATTTAATCGTCCAATGTATTCTTGGTCTTGAGTGTAATAAGTTATTAGCGTCTTTCGGGATATTTCGTTCGTGAACTGAGACTGTTTCAGTTCCCGGTTGCAAGTAACGCGTATATTAGATATAAGTGTTTTTCAAATTTTTCTTTTGATCTCATTAATCTGTCTTTTATTACCAAACAATATATATAAATTACAAATACTATTATTATTAAGATAAGAATAACATTCGAGTGACTTAGAATTGGAAAGGAGGTTATTTTCGTATTTCTTTAGGACATTTTGTACAGTACGGAACATTCTAAATGATAAAGTTTATAAGTAAACAAAATTGATTCTCAGACAGAAGGCATAGCATGATCATTTACAAATTTCTCAGTATCATCGATCACATAACATTTCCCTTAATGTGCACTTTCAAAGTTCCCGAACTAGAACAACAATTCGGTAAAAAAGAAAGTACAATTGTCGAGAGAATTTGTTCCTCGTTGCGCAATTACGGCAGTTCCTCTAACAATCTTTCTGTTTAATAAAACGAAAATGTAAAGAGTTTTATTGGCATATAATAATTATTAAATAGTTTATATGTACATAGTATTGTAATTCGGAAGTAAATTAGAAAGAATAAAAGTCGACAATTTTATATGTTATACCTGATCCAATATAATGTTAAGAACAATATGTATATCGATAAATATTTAATAGATTTTGCAATTTTTTTTATTTAAAAATTCAGAACATAGCGTACCTCGACGTGATGGTATTTTACCGACGGGCAGGTAAAAAAAACAGTGTGAATGACGCCATCTAGCAGGAAAACGAGGAAGTTTGTAGTGAACAAGTTATCATTGTCGACGGCACCTAGTGTTGAAGAGGCCGAACTAATTTCAGAGTTTGGTCAGCGCCTCTATCGGAAAAACGCTCAAGTTTGTCTTCGAATAGTTTCGTTTTTCACCGCTAGATGACGCCATTTATACGCTTTTTACCGACATGATGGTAATGTACCGACAGGTCCGTCTCGATGTATTTCCCGATAGAGGCGCTGACCAAACTCCGAAAATTAGTTCAGTCTCTGAACACTAGATGGCGACGACAATGATGGCGTATAGCGTTATCTAATAGTAACAGTGGGAACTATTTTTACTACAAACTTAGACGTTTCCTCACCGATGGCGATACTTTACTTGTCAATGAAATGAAACACAACCTCAAAAAATACAGCACTGATATATACCAAATTATGTATATATACTAATACACGTAAACATTATACATTTTCGTTTTGTTAAACAACAAGATTGTTAGAGGAGGTGCCACAAATCTCTTTACATAAACAACGTGAAGTTGCCGTGATTGATCATCCAATCATAAACGAAACCGAATATTTGTTATTGTGTCAACTTCAACCTGTCGTCTGCTTCTTCGGTCCTTTTAACTTGACCTGTGTTTGTTTTCGTGACCTTCACAGTTTGTCGTAGTTGAAATAGAGGTCAATTCGAACGAAACGCGTTACTCGTAATTTGTCACGAAATAATAAATTAAACAGTGAATTATATTTAATTTTTGTCTATAAAGGAAACGTTAGATTCTGAACTTGAGCCAATGTTATTTCGTTTACATATTTCTCCTGTTATTTTTGAATGGGAGTATAAAACTTTTGTTTCGAAAAGTTTATGTTAGCAGTGTAGTCAGGTATGAAAAATGATAAATACGAGAGAATGTCCTCAGGAGAAAAGTAAAACACGTGTTTTCTAAGGAGTTTTACAATGCATGCTTCAGTTATACGACAAAATATTAATTTAAATTTTTTGTTGAATTTATTAACCCACCAATTTTATATATATATATATATTTATGATGTACTGTTACAGACCAATTTTGTATTGACAAAAATTTGAATTTCTAACGATCATGATAGTTTTGTTACAGCAGATTTTACACAATCATTTGTTCATGCTTTTCAAATGATTATATTTAATTAATTGACGATTTAAATTTAATCCTTTGTTATGCAAAAATTCTATGAAAATGTCTTTTTTAGAATCTCATAAAAAAAACAAGCAACAATAGTAAACAATATTATTTACTTTTGAATGTAAACACTTTATATCTTTGTATGTATCATGTATATCAGAGTAGTTAAATAAAGGAGTTTTCTAATGTATCATCTTGTTTTAATATAACAGAATAATAAACGTTAATAACTAATGCAAATTGACTTATTATTTTTGCTCTTAACTTATAATTTTATGTATTGTTTGAAAACAATTCATGGCAATTTTGTTATGATTAAAGAGCTTTATTTTGCGTTTGTTGTAGATAACAGACAAAATGGACTTTGCTTAAGTAACAAGATACTGTGATAAGAGCTGTAATAATATAAGACTAATTTAAAACTATTCATTACTCTTAGTAACAAGCAATTTCATCTGTATGATTTATTTGTCTTGAGAATGGGTTCAGTACTTGCGATAAGTAATTTTTTTCGGATTGCAACAAAGGCATTAATAAAGAAGTTTAGGAGCATTCTTCGAAGTCTTTACAATTGCCACTACTTAAAATGTTTTTGCTATTATGTAAGTTTAAATGAACACAGTGATACTTATTAATAACCTCTTGTATTTATATCTTTTGTTGTGAATGATAAGAATACCATAAATCATTTAATCATCAAATGAATTGTTGATAATCCATTGCCTTAATAACATTGCATTAGTATAACTGTAATAATTTAATTGAAGAAGATCCTTTATAGTCAAGGATATTGCAAATGTGTATTTTAACTTATATTTAATTTCATTGGAAGTATGGTGTATATAAAACTGTAATTATAGAAAAATTAAAACTTGACGTTTCTAAGCTAATACTTCAATGTTGGCATAGTGGTGAGGTAGTATGAAAGTAGCAGTTTATACATCAAACTTGTTAGAATTAAATTCAGTAGCTTGTAGATGGAATACGATGGTAACAAATGTACAATTAATATTATACGGTAGGAAGTCTGCTTCTGTCTATACTGTTACAAAGAGGTAATCCAAGCATGTAGAATGAGAATATGTCTGGCCATTATGTGTGTTCATCCAGTGTAACTTTGTAACGCAATACGCTTTTTGTACGCTTACCAGCTGCTTTGTGCTAGTAACTTATATTAAGGGACTTGTGGGCTAAGTATTTATCCATTTACCACGTTTCACGTGTAAGTACTAATATATCCTGAGTACCAATTTGTCTTGTAAGAGTTATCTTATACACATTGTGCAGAACTTTTTATTAACTTAACATTATTTTAACCATCTTTTATAATAATCTTGTGTTGTGTTGTTCGTAAAGTTAGTGGTATAATATACTGTGTTATAAGATAAGTGTTGAAAAAGTATGGCAATATTGACAATATAGAAGTTTTCCTTACGCTCTTAACACATATTTTTTATATTCTGTATTTGCATTACAGTTTAATAAAAGATTTTTCATTGCACACTATTAATGATATTACAGATCTATTAGAGAATTATTAGTACTATTATTTGAAAATCAATAGAATACTGATGTATACACGCTGTAATTACCTAAGTAATGTTGATGCATTTATAAGATAATAAAAATGATAGAAGTTGTAAAATTTTGTTTGCATCTTTAGGCACTAGTCGAGAATATGACAGAACAGGTGTCTTTGACTCAAAGTCACGACTCTGAACAAATAAGAGTCTTAACTTTAAATAATGGAGAACATCTTGATGGTGTATTGTACAGATTAAAGAAAGGTACGTAACAGACTTATTCTATTTACAACTTTGATACAAATAAGTTGAAAGAATTTTAAGAATTAACATAATTTTCAATAGGATGGAGAGTGGAATTTCGATTAGGTGCTTCTCTTCTTGGAAAGCGCCTCGATCTTTTCATAAATCATCCTTTAAGTGAAACTCAGAAATTTGAGAGACACACATATTATCCATTAGAATGGTTAAACGAAACGGCCAGTATATGTTTATCTCTGGCTGGTTCGTTCCATTATTATCTCACGGATCCTAAGTACGTATTAACGCGTAAAAAATGCTAATATCATAGCAAATTTAAAAACGTTGAATTCCTTAGCGCCGAAAGTGTAAAACCTATTGCTTCTGGATACCTATTAGTGGACCCAGAACTTAAAGTTGGAGAACAAGGAGAAAATCTACCATTAGATTGTATTCAATGTCAAACTGTTTTATCAAAATATTTAGGACCTTTTCCCACTTGGGAAGATAAGCTGTTAGTTGGTCGGAATTCTGGTTACAATGTAATTCATTTTACGCCGATTCAGGTAGTGTATACAATTTGTACTATTTACAATAATCGTAATATACGTATAGTTTATTTATACTATTTATACCTTTTAGGAATTAGGATCTTCTAGATCAGCTTACAGTCTAAGCAATCAATTGAAATTAAATCCATCTTTTAACGATGATGATAAACCAGTTACGTACGATGATATTGAAGGACTCATTAGTAAAATGCGTAACGAGTGGAATGTAAGTGGTATAATTTTGCTACGATGAGAATTTTCGTTTCGTTCGTAATATTTTCTTTTAATTGTTATATGTTACAGATGTTAAGCATATGTGATATCGTTCTAAATCACACGGCTAACGAAAGTCCTTTCTTGGTATCTCATCCAGAATGTACATATAACTGCTCAAACAGTCCTCATTTGCGTCCCGCGTACATTTTGGATGCTGCATTATTTGAATTGACGGTACAAGTAGCAGCTGGAGAATGGGAATTTAAGGGAATCCCTTCGGTCGTTGAAACCGAAGAACATTTAAATGTAATGCAAATGCATTATTTTTGTATTTCACATTAATAACGCGCCACTCTATACATCTATTATTTTGTTCTGTTTACAGTCAATTCGTCACGCGCTTCATACATATTTTCTACCGCTCGTAAAAATACACGAATTATATATATTAGATATTAACGAAGCTATCGCTGAATTTTTGAGTTTAGCACGCAATCAAATGCCTCAGGATATCGTTGAGCCATTGGAAGATATTAAAGTGATACAAGATCCTAAATTCCGAAGATTAAAAGCGACTATAGACAAACAACTTTCGCTACAAAAATACAACATATATAGGTAAGACATTATAGTAGAAATAAGATTTTCATTTATTTATTATCGTTTATCACACTTATTATCGCAGAGCCGATTGTTTCGACGAGGAAACTCGTTTGAAACGGTGTGCAGAAGATTTAAGAAAGAAGTTACAAGAACTTAACGACGTAATCATTAACGAGGTACAAAATAATCTGAATGCTGCAATTGAAAATTCAATTGCTGGTATAAGATATTATAGAGTACAACCCGATGGACCAAGACTTAAAGAAATAAGCGAAAGAAATCCACTCGTTCCTAGGTACGTCTTTTCTAAAAATGTCCATTACTCTTAAATATACCACATTATCATTCTAATTACTCTCAGATATTTTACCGACTATGGAGCACCTCAAACATTAACCGAACGCGAAGCAACAATGTACTCGGATGCGGGATGCTATCTAATGGTTCATAACGGATGGGTGATGAACGGGGATCCTTTCAAAAATTTCGCAGATCCTGATTCCAATGTCTACATAAGAAGAGAACTTATCGCGTGGGGTGACAGCGTCAAGTTAAGGTAATGCGATTACTCTAAGAAAATTACGATTATATTGCGAGATAATTACATCACGTTTCTTATAGATACGGAGATAAACCAGAAGATTGTCCTTTCTTATGGCAACACATGACTACTTACGTCGAACAAACGGCTAAAATATTCGACGGAATTCGTCTAGACAATTGCCATTCAACGCCCATTCCAGTTGCTGAGGTACATATATGCTAAAATATATATAAATTTAGGTTTACTTAATTGCATTTCGCAATGTTTCAGTACATGCTCGACATGGCTCGTCGAGTCCGTCCAGATTTATACGTTGTTGCAGAATTATTTACTAACTCCGATCAAAAAGACAATATATTCGTTAATCGACTCGGTATCACTTCTTTAATCCGAGGTACGAAGATTTATCTTATATTACAAGCTTTTACAAAAACAAATCGAGATTGTTATTAAATATCGCGCTTTTTATTTTCACAACAGAAGCTATGTCTGCTTGGGACAGCCACGAAGAAGGTCGACTAGTATATAGATACGGAGGTGAACCGGTGGGAGCATTTTTGCAACCGCGTAAACGACCTTTGGTACCAAGTATAGCGCATGCCCTCTTCTTAGATTTAAGTCACGATAATCCAAGTCCAGTGGAAAAACGTAGTACGTTTGATTTACTGCCAAGTACTGCACTTGTATCAATGGCAGCATGCGCTAGTGGCAGCAACCGCGGATACGATGAACTAGTTCCTCATCATGTAAGTTTTCTTACATGTACTATACCTTTTTCTAAGGTATTTAAGTTTCAGCTAAGAAAATTTGATTCGTTCTTACAGATACATGTTGTCGACGAAACAAGACAATATACCGCTTGGACAGATGATGAAAATTTAGCGGATAGTATCGGACTCGTAAGTTCGAAGAGTGGTATAATCGCAGCGAAAAAAGCGTTAAATAACTTGCATTATTCTCTCGGACAACAGAACTTTTCCCAGGTATGTACATATGCGATATTTTCTTACAGAAAGAAATTATATAAATACGAATTGCCAAAATCACAGGTTTTTGTCGACCAAATGGACAGCGATATAGTAGCTGTAACAAGACATTCACCAACGAGTCACGACAGCGTAGTTTTAGTTGCTTTTACAGCTTTCAAACATCCGGATCCTAACGCCAATGATTTGAGGAGGCATGTGAAGCCATTGCGGGTGGAAGGCGTGGTGGAAGAAATTATATTAGAAGCTTCATTGTCTCACGCGGGAGCAAAGTAGGAATCGAAGATTTTTTAACGCTTTGTATCATAAATCTCAAAATCATTTTAACGGCACGATGTTTTTAGGAATGGCACTTCACCGTTCCACTACCCTGAAAAATATGTGAGAGATGAAAATTATATAAATGGGTACACTGAATATGTTTTGCAACTCAAGGAACATATACAGATTTGCGATTCGGAAATTGTCGAGAAAGTTGATTCAGGAGATCCTAAGATAACTCAGTTGAATTTTGTAAACTTTCAACCTGGCTCCATTATTGCTATTCGGTATATATTTGTTTAAATTATGTTTATACGGTATATGAATATTAACGCGTTTAATTTCAGGGTATCGCTTCACGTTAATATAAAGCCTGCTCTTGCAAAACTTCACAATACTATCTCGCTGATAACATCATCGAAAAGTTCAGATTTACGTGTTATTGCTTCTCGCATGGATTTGGTAGATTTGAATAAGGCCTTGTACAGATGCGATCAGGAAGAACGTGATGAAACATCGAACAAGTTTGGCGTGTATGATATTCCTGGGTACGGCCCTCTCGTCTACGCTGGATTACAAGGTAAAATTGTACATGCATCTCTTCTACTTCTACTTTTATGTACTCGCTAATGGTTTGTTTATTTCCAGGCATTGTTTCTCTATTAGCAGATATTTGTTCAAGTAATGATCTAGGTCACCCGGTGTGTATTAATCTTAGACAGGGTAATTGGTTGATCGGTAAGTATACTATAGCCTAGTTTATTATTTATTGTCAACTAAGGTATTGAGACATAATATTTAAATAAATAAAAAAACAACAGATTACACGTGGCAACGATTAAAAGAAGACGACGGAACCAAAGACCTGGGGATGTGGCTCGAAGAAGCTACAGAGCCTTTTAAACTGATACCTCGTTACTTGGTACCCAGTTATTTTGACGTTATAATCGTAAATGTTTACATGACTCTTCTCGAGCAATGCTATAGTCTAATGTCAAGGTATTTATTTAAGTAACCTGTATATGTTTTTGTATTAATTCTTAGTAGCTCATTTTGCAATCTTTTAGCTTCGTGAAAGATGGCTCCACGTTTGTCAAGATTTTGTCTTTGACTTCGATACAAGTAGGAGGCGTAGTAAGATCGTCTCCATTACCCGATTTGTCTCCGAATTTAGATCCTCCTAAACCAACAGTTAAACAATATAATGGCGAAAGCGAACAAATGTGTATGACATTGTCTGCTGGGTTACCACACTTTACAACAGGTTACATGAGAAATTGGGGCAGAGACACTTTCATTTCTTTAAGAGGATTACTCATATTAACGGGCAGATACAGCGAAGCGCGATTCATTATTCTCGGTTACGGAGGAACTTTACGACATGGTCTTATTCCTAATTTACTTGACAAGGGGAAAAACGCTAGGTAAAGAATACATTTCCAAACAACAATTAACGATCGTGTTCATATTTTCTGAGTAATATATTCAAACATTTTTCAGGTATAACTGTCGAGATGCGCTGTGGTGGTGGCTGTACACAATTCAATGTTACATACAGGAAGTACCAAACGGTTTAAAAATTCTAACGGATAAAGTTTCCAGACTGTTCCCCACTGATGATTCTCCAGCGCTACCTGCAGGCCAAGCAGTACGTATACATAATTTGTTGTAAACAAATTGATAAATGTAAGTACTCCGTGCAATACAAGTTTACGATGTATTTTCAGGATCAATCGCTACACGATGTTATTCAAGAAGCTCTGTTGGTACATTTCCAAGGGCTTTGCTTCCGAGAAAGAAACGCTGGGAAGCAAATTGACGAGCACATGACAGATCGTGGCTTTAATAATCAAATTGGAGTACACCCAGAGACTGGATTTATATTTGGAGGAAATGATGCGAATTGCGGTACTTGGATGGATAAAATGGGATCTTCCGAAAAGGCTGGTAATAAAGGGAAACCTGCCACACCAAGGGATGGTTCAGCTGTAGAAATAGTAGGGCTCAGTAAGAGCATTCTAAGTTTCTTGGCTGAATTATATAAGCAAAACCTTTTCCCCTATGGCAGCGTGCAAAGAAAGAACCGCGACGGTAAGAGAAACTTTACTTATATTTTTACTTTAATTTCCAGTTTCTATGACGATTTCGATTTATTACAGGATCCGTGATAACATGGAGTTATAAACAATGGGCAGATAAGATATCACTAAACTTTGAAAAATACTTCTATATTAACGAAACGCCAACAGAGGGAGAACTGAAACCAGAACTTATTCATCGTCGTGGAATTTTCAAAGATAGCCATGGAGCAACACAAGCATGGGCTGATTATCAACTACGACCTAATTTCCCTATTGCAATGGTGGCTGCACCAGAATTATTTAATCCACAACACGCATGGACAGCATTGAAAAAAGCAGAAGAAATTTTATTAGGCCCACTTGGAATGAAGACATTAGATCCTGCCGATTGGGCGTATAACGGATATTACGATAATTCTAATGACAGTGGAGACACTAAATTGGCTCATGGTTGGAATTATCATCAAGGCCCTGAATGGGTTTGGCCTATAGGATATTTCCTTCGAGCTCGTTTATACTTTGCTCCGTTAGTTGGAGGAAAGGAAGAATTACATCGTACGATTGATTCAACCGAAACTATCATATCTCGCCATTTAATAGAGGCATCGACAAATCATTGGAGAGGTCTTCCCGAGCTTACTAATAAAGATGGAGATTATTGCAAGGACAGTTGCAGAACTCAAGCTTGGAGCGCCTCTGCTATATTAGAAGTTCTTTATGATTTAGACAAAATTAAACGGGAGTTACGATCGGAAGAAGCTGAACGAATGAATTGATACAATTTTGCGTGTGTTCACCACCGCCAATTACACTTAGAACATTTACGATTAGAGAAAGAACATAGAATTAGATATAAAGAACACGAGGACAAGTTGCACCTCCTTAACATGATTATAGAAACACAACGCACGGAGACACACGCATATGGTATTTCGCACATAGACAAGACAAATATGCCACCGTGCAAGTTTGTAGCTGTTGATGTGAGTCCTACAAACGACGACTTCTTTTCAAGTCGAGAACTAGAAGAAACTGGAAGTGAATCAAGCGTCAAGCATGAATACGTATCTCCTAATTTCGTTATTGGCCTACAAGGAACCGAAACTTTGTCAAATTCTACAGAATGTTCGACAATATCAGGAAACGAACCTCAAAAACCAACACTTCCTTTGAAATATTTAAGTAAACCTTCGGATAAGTGCAAAAACGAACCGATCGACCAGAACAATATACTCGTAAAGGAAAGCGTAGAAGACAATGACTCGAATATAAAATACTCGTCGTCAAAACTGGATCACGTTTACGAAGAAGTCAATACACTCGAATGCGATATTATGGATTATTATGAAAAATATAGTCCAACGACCGCAAAGACTTTGATAAATACACTTTTTCTTCCTCGACAAAAGATATGTAAACAGTGTGCCAGTTCGCAGGACAGTCCAGTATACTCAGACCGTTTGATATATGGAAAGAAACCTTTATATGCCAGGGAAGTACGTCAATTTCAACAAAACGACGCTTTATGTTTTAAATATTATCCAGAGAATGGTAAACAAGACACTATATTTTCGCAGTACGATAATAATCAGCATTGCTTGATAGTTTGTAATTACTTGAAAACTAATGCCTCTAGCATACTTTATTTTTACGGCCAACCGCGAGACATTTTCAATATGAAAACAGCACTGAAACCAAATATTCTTCTCATAAGTTGCAATACAAATGGCGTAGTAAACACAGAATTGTATCACCGCTGCGCGAATAATTTTTATACGCGAATATCGAATAACGGCATTGCACCCATGACATTTCGTATGAATCACAATAACATTCTAAGCACCATAAAACACATTGGATACGATACCGATTTGCAGAACTGGATGAATTATCGTAACGATGTATTTCGATCGCAAGGTTTTAAGCAAGACGATGTGCTCGATCACCGTCCAAATCGGTCCAGTTTATTATTGTTGGAACCGTTATTATTAATGCCAGAATTAACGAGTCCTAGATATAGGCACGGAAAAAATCGCATCTCGCAATCAGAGCATGTGAAAATAGTAAAAATAGTGCTCGCCTATACTCTTTCCTTCTTCATTTTAGCAACAATTACACTTTATATTGTTTATTTTACTTAATAATTACAATAATCGAAATTAGAAGAAAAATCTGTTACTCAATTCGTAAAGTTTGAAAAATTATTGGATTAAAGTTTGCTTAAAATTTATACATCTTTATAAATTATTGAGTGTATACTCTTGGCCTAGTATTATATATTTCATATTATAATTTTAATAACTAATCACAATTTATTATTGTTATTTAAGATTTATTGATTTGCTATTGCTTCAGCATAATCAAGTAGGATATCATTTTAGAAAATTGTATCCCCGCGAATTTACTAACAGTACAAAAAAAAAAAAAAAAAAAAAAAATAAAGACGAAAGATGATATGTTTCAGATGAAGTGAAAATTTCGTGCTTTATTAACATATATCTGATATCTATTCTTTATACACTTTTCAAATTGTAAAAAAATCTTATTAAACGAATACAAACTTGAAACTTGAGAAGGTTGTCGAGATTTATTACTTTCAATTTGTTAATACATTAAATATTAATTAGCAGATATAGTTAATGTTGCAGGTATATTTTAAATACATATTTTCATAACTGTTTCCATATCTGTACGAAATATTTGCAATAAAGTTGATATATATATATTTTCATTTTGCATAGTAGAAAAAACATTTATTTCAATCCTCTTTAAGCTCAAGTTTTATCGCTTTATGTATATTGTATGATATAAAATAAATCGATCTATTCAATAACATGCATGTATGATATAACAATAAATAAATTTCACTTGTACGTGTCGAATTATATAACGTAAATATTTCTACAATATTTACAAAATAAATTTATTGTTGCAAAGATAAATAAAGGTTTTTTTAAACCTAAAACTTTGCTGCAGATGTATATCATTGAATAAATATAAATTTTATTAAATATTAATTTCTCGTAACTTCATTAAGACGATAACATTGAACGTTTAACGTTCATAACAAAGATAAATACCTGTTTGCATTTATTATTACAGATATTAAAATAATTCCATTCTCCCTCGATGTAAAGAGAATCATGCAATGGGTAATTTTCTATTCAATATCATAGCATGTTTCAATATTACAGTAAGAATGATAAATATTAGATTATATAAGGCTATATAATGGTATAATTAATTATTCTAAATATAATTAATCAATACACTGCTTTCATTTTATTATGATGTTCACTACAAGAGCACGTATAATATTTAAAATCAACTTTCTTCTATTTTTATTCTGGTACATCTTAAGCAATGTGCAGTTATTTGAATCTACGCGCATAGAAATTTATATATAAATTTTATATATAAAGTTATTTATTAAATACGAAACATATTGCTTCTCAAAATTAAAAAAAAAAAGAAATAAAGATAAGAATCATTTAGAATTTACTTGATTTAAGTTTCTTTTAATGTTGTATTATTACTTCATCAATGGTGAACATTTTTCGAAGATACAAATATATAAATACGAATAAAATTAGTCAAAACTCCTAAAACCTTTACTAACCATATCATGGATACGAACACATGATATTTTTTATTTTGTTTTAAAATTTAATAATAAGCAAGAAAGGTACGTAGAATTGAATCATCTTTTAATTCCATTTTTCAACTCATAATTTAAATGATTCTCTATTAATGATACTACTACGTTACATGATTTTTATGATACTAACGTTTAATTTAATTATATTCACAACCTCTGCATTAGAAAATTCTATTATGTACCAAGAGTAGACAGTTTATATGTGAGTATTGTTAACTATAAATTTACCTGTTTAGTAATTCACGTTATCGACTAAAAAGTAAACGGCATTGGATTCGATTTAAATATCGTCGAACAATCCTCTCGGTGGAGGTCCTACACGATTTGTATTTGTATTAAATGCTCTTGCATTGTCCATACGATCTTCATAAAAATCAACCGCCTGGTAGTTTCTATCGTAACTATTGTTTGCACCATAACTATCAACACCCGATGTCGTGCCGATATAATAATCCGTAGGGTCGAAATCACGTAGCAGACCAGCCCTTGCGGATTCTACTGATTCGTCCCGTTTTAAGGGACGCACTGTAACACAAATTATAAGTTGTTAAGCTAATTCTGATATTGTTTTTATAAAATAAATGATTGCATACCTGTATCGGTACTTTGTCGAGATGTTCTATAACGCGATGAACTTGTAGTACTGCTAAATCTTTCTTGTAGTTCGCGTCTTCTGCAAATTGAATCTTCTGCCCTTTGGCGTTTACGCCTCTCTAAAAACAAACCAAATATATTAATATAAAACACTTCACTTAAATATTCAGATTTTCACTTGAGCTTCTCTACCTTTTAAAATAATTACTTGGCATACTCAGACTAGGAAATCAAAGGAACATTGTATCCTTCTATTTCTTTCTTATCATACTTAGTTTCTAAGATTGTAAAAAAGGGAAATCGAAGGAACTTTGATTACAAGAAGTTGCACTTTAATAATTCTGTGAATAACTACAGAAACATCATTTTACCTCGTTTTATTAACTCTCGCCCTTCTTCCACAAGATCTGTAGTAAATTCATCGTCGTCGAGAAACTGTTGGAAACCCAACATGGAAAGTAATCTGCTTCCTACGCTGAAGTATGTTGCTAGGCAAAATGCCAAAATAGCCATTGGAAAGTACACATTGAATCCATCAGATATGATGGAAATGACATCCATATGTCCCATTACCTAACCAGATAAGTTGCGAAGTGTATTACAACACCATGAGATCCTAGTAATTATTGTTTTGTGACATAATGTATTTACCTGAGTATAATGAGTTTCCAGTATGTGTGTTTTTATAATGTGAGAATCCATATGGATGAGACCCAAGAAGTTCAAACACATTGGAGGCGTGAGACGACATAACATCATACCGCTGAATATTAAACTATATTCATTAGTTTGATGGTGCGGCGCCAGATAATATAAATTCAAGACACGAATTTTTAACACGGTTGAATAAGCACAGTAACAGAGATATGCAATTATCAGCATGGACAATAACTGGAAAAAATATTTCAGTTGTCGAAATAAAAATATTATTTGCAAGTATCAAATTAGTCCATGTGTCCTCACCTCGATTGTAAAATAATCATAGCTGTCCCTAGCTAGATTCAAGAACTGAGCAAATAACGACAGCACTGGACTTTTGTTAAAAAATGTTACTTCTGACCATACAACAGCTACCGAAAGGCAGCCGGCAATAATAGCTGCTATCTGTTGAACATAACTCTTCATGACACATTTCCAATACCACTCTAAAAGTTTTAGAATAGTCACAAACATCGAGTAAACATTTATTTAGAGTTCCCTTACAATAATACTTACCAACAACTGGATTATAAACGACGCGAAGTGGAAATGAGCGATGAATAGGAAAAGTTGGTTTGAATCTTCTATCATGGCTCACTTGATTCTTTGCTATGTCCTCTAAATCGATTATTTTATCAACCAAAATCCCCCACTGCGTTTCTATGCGTTGCAATGTTTGCAGTGATTTTATAGTCTAAGAAAGAATCAAATAAATTAACGTCTATATATGCATATTTACACGCTAAATGTATATTATATTTTTAATTAATAACCAACCTGTCTATGCAAACGAATTAAAGATTTTTCGGATGGTGTGTCGGTCGGCGTATCATCCGGTAACTGTCTCCTGTTCATTCTATCTTTTAATTCTGCAGGGATTTTTTGAAAAATCGTTTCTAAATTACAATGAAAAGGATGACCAGGTCCGATAGATACTGTTGCAGCTTGCAAAGACTAAACAATAAAATAAATAATACAGTAAAGCTACAAAGTTATCGTACCTAGGTAGCGCGAATATTACCTCGAGTATATCATCTACTGTTTCTTCTGCTTCACATTTATCTAAACTTAATTTAGCAGCTTTGAAGTAGCTATAATTCAAGGTATATCCAGGTTTGCTAGCATTCCATAATCCACGAGGAACTTCTACAAGTGCGTATCCAAGAAGTAAAACTAACAAAAACAGACCCCATGTATTGGACGCGGACGATGCTATGGCTTTCAGCTTTTGACTATAAAACAAATATGTCTGAGTACGCGATATGGATCTTTATCATCCAAAACATCAATTACAGTAATTACCCGTCGAGATCCAAACCAGGTTTCAATGCTATATATATTAAAAGAACACCGCATATGAACAAATAACTTCCATAATATATCGCGTTATCGATCAAAGCAGATTTCAATTTTCCTTGAACAGTGAAATCCCCTGCCTTTATATAAGACTGCATGAGGGGCAATATTAACCACGTTAAACATTGTGATGTCCAATATACGATTCTCCATAAATTTGGAAATACATTTTCCGGAACATTAGGCCATGGCTCTTTGCAAGTATGAAATGGTATTGTCGTTGTACTGTCATGATTTGTTGTAGTGGTATTGTGAACATTTTGTTCGACACATTGTCTGAACACAGTCTGTAAGAAAATGTATTAATAAGAATCTTTAATTAGCTTAACATATAAAGGATATTTTTATATGATTTTTACTAACCGATGAAACATCCAATGGTAATATAAATATTATAAGTAGCGAGAAGTACCATGCTATAAGCACAGAGATTGTAACAAAGATGTGATGTCGAAATATATTCCCATATTTGTACAATAAAGTTGCAGCAAGACAAAATGCTACCACAATCAAGATGAAAAATGCTCCAAGAATCATTTTAGTGAAATTCTTTTGTATGGTAACTTTACAATTGTTACATGTCTCTTTGTCAACTTTTACATTCTACTCCATATTGTTCTCTTTGTTCTCTTCCTCCGAAGCTTCTCGAATCTTTAACTCTGCATCTCTTTGCATATTTTCTAACTTTTCTAATGTAACCGATTTCAATGGGATCAACTTAGGTTTGCAAAGTATATAATCCAGATTTTCCTCTTGGTACAGTAAACCTTGCTTGGGAAGAACAACATCAATCTTTTCTGCAGAATTATCTATCGTTCCTGACATGTTTGCTCGAACCAGACGATATCTGTAAAACAGTTACTTGACTATTAAATAGGTATAAAATTAAGTTAATTTATGTCTTTGTCATGGATAAAGGATACATCTCGACATGAATGTATAGGATAGCTCGTGTAACGCATAAATAATCGTTTTTGTAAATTTCTAATTGCACGAAATGTAAGAATTTTAGAAATAGGAATAAAGAGTATAAAAGGGTAACAGATACTATTAAAAGTACGGAGTATAACTTAGCAGAATGTTATGTACAATCGTGTCATGCTTGTCTACTTCGACGATATATGAAGTCGTTCACGTTTCACGTTACGTTTACGTATTAATTTATTTTTTATCGTTAAGAAATACAATGTTACCATTTTCTTACGGTTAGATCATTGATTATACACTGTACGATACATTAAAAATGATCGACATCACATGAAGTTATGAACACCAGAACTAACCAGAACAACGTCAAATTGTCATTCTTCGAAAATGATAGCTACATTATCGACGACAAATCTTTGATCGACGATACGTGCAATTGCACGATGCAAGTAGGTGCAAGTCTTATATTCAATGATAGAAATAAAAACGCTCTATCT